AGCATCAAGGCACAGAGCGGGCGGCGTGTAAAACAAGCCCAATGCTACTACGGAGTACAGAGTAAGGTGATTGATTCGCGTCTGGGTTCCCTCAGGGTCGCAGCAGAAACAAAGCATGGGTCAATCTTGGGTCACGAAGCATCCGTCAAAAGACGTCAATTGCATCAGTAGCACCACCCAAGACAACACAAACGGACGAGTTAACTGACAAGACGGACGGTGATGGGATGATTGATAATGGCTGGGTGGGCAAAAAAGAAGGCGATGGAGGGGCATCTTTTTGGCGATAAAAAAAGAGACAGAAGTGCCAAAAGGAGGGGCAATTGGTTTATCACCCCTCATCCATCGATAAGGGCCTCGGCGTATGAGTAGTAGCAAAAGCGTTCGGTCCATCTGGACCCGGTTGGTAGGATTGGAACGAGAAAGAGGGGAATGGGTTCGAGACAGGAACCTGCTTGTGCCCTGGCGTCTTCGGGTAATTGGCCGCGGAGATTATCATGGCGAGAGAAGCAAAGACGTAGAAGCAGAACGAGAGTAAAAAAAAAAAAAAACACTCATGCAGGGCTTGCATCTCGCGCTCGATGCAAGCAGCAGACGACATGTACGACATCTCTGGCGGCAGTGGCGCGATAAGGACTCGACTCGACTCAACCGACTCAGCTCTGGTCTGGTTTAGCAACGGTTTCCAACAGGGCGACGGGTGATGAACATGTGGGCAGTCGGTGGGGTGACTGAAATGGATGGGCGATTGAGGATTGAGGGGAGGGGGGGGAGTGTCGGCTGCAAGTCCGCAGACAAGCAACAAGTACCGCAAAAGACGACGGGCGACGATGAGGACGGCAGACAAGAGCAAGAGAGCAGGGCTCCCCCCGTTGGACTGACTCTGACTGACCGTGACAAACCGTTACAAACAGCCCTGGTCGAGTCTCGAGGTGCCACCCCCATATCTATCGGGATCCATTCGCGTCCCATTGCTGTATCCATTTGCATATCTCGGTCAGTTCAGGTGCCTGATGCCCAATGGCCCGGACTACCTATTCTGGGCAGCAGCTAGTGAGGCAGCCCAATCGCAAGAGGCATGTCGTCGTGTTCGAAACGGCCATCCATTGTTGGCGCCGTGGCCCCTCACATGCTGCCCGCGCTCTTTGGCTGGTGCTTTTTACTGTACTGTGCTTGTGCTCTCGCTTTGACTTGGTTTCGCGCTGCCTTGGCGTGGACTAGCAGGATCTGGCTCCGTGAGGCTTTGATGGAAATGACTGGCTGGCGCTGTTTCTTTGTTAGTTGTCACCATTATGCCATGCTGCGGGGGACGAAAAAGAAAAGAGAAAAAAACAGGAACAGGATTGGATGATGCTGATGCTGATGCTGATGCTGATTGATGGCAACGAAGGAGAAGAAGAAAACATGACCGTCCTGTATTTGTTGGCGCAGACCTACTGGTCCATTGCCCATCCCCCTCCCCAATGTTGTTTCTGCGCGCGCGCTGTCAGATCAGAGCAGCCCAATCCCAACCGAAAAACCGACCGGTCTTATCCCATCAAATCGAGCTTCGGTGACATGGGGCCTGTGCCATACCGTGCTCGTACTGTAGACATCTGTGCGATACTCGGACTTGGACAGAGCACAAAGGCAGGCCCTCCCCATGTCCGCTCAGGGCCATGTATCCTATCGGAGCAGCCACTCGGTATCTGCCTGCAGAAACGCAACGCGCACAGGCACAGCTGAAGAGGCAACATTGGAACAATTGGCCAGTAGCAGCGCGGCGGCACACGCCCAATCCATTGGCCAATGGGTTGCACTTCGGCATCCACACCGTAACTCGCGTGACGTTGTCCACCTGAGCTCTCCCCCCCCTTTAGTTTTGTCTTGTCTCGCGTTTCCTGCTGCTGCTGCTATTTCGATATCAAAACACCCTCCATCAGGTAGCACAGGTGCTTGTGGAATGGCATGGGGATGTGATATGCGATAGACAAGGCAGCTTGAATCAAATCAATCGGACAAGTACTCCGTAGAGGGTACTACATACCTAGTAGCACGCAGTCTAGTGAGTAATGCCATTGCATTGGGAGCATCAGAGCGAGCATCAGAACAGCAAACAGGGGGGGCGTGTGATGGGAGCTGCAATTCAGAACATCTGGATCTGAGAAGCGTAAACAGCGTGCATGATACCGCCGGTCACTCACGCAGGACCAGCTAGTGGCACAGGCTAGTCGTGATGCTACGCCTCCTTTCAGTAATACTGTCCACAAGAGAGTGAGTCACAAGATGGGGCTGACGAGGCATCTTAGTCTTAGCATGACGGCCACTAAAGGGGAGCCGAAGCTGCGGATTGCCTCTATGCTTGTCCCGGCTTAGCTGTCGAGCTGCTCTTCTTCAAGGCAGCCGTTCTATCGATAAGCTGACCCAATCTTGCCAATTCCTGTCTCCATCTCCAGTTTTCCAAAAGAGAGCGGCTACGTCACGTCAGTCTTTGCGCAGGCATCAATCATTCTGACGGTGAGAGTTGGTGCTCGGCTGCCTTGGAGGCTTTTTTTTTTTTTTCTTTTTCTTTTCCTTTTTTTTCCTTTTTCCTTTTCAACTCTTTATTGCGCCGACTGCTCCTCGCCTAGCTGCGGCTGATTCAGGAGGAATTTCAGCCCTGTGCGGCTGGAATGCTCAAGTCGCGGACTCGTCACCTACACTGGCGCAATTCGAGAATTTCGAAAATCGTCCTCTTTTTTTGATTTTCCCCTCGCGCGCCGCTGCCATGTGAAAAAGAAGGGAAGGCCAAGCCCAAAGACGTACGTCAACGTCATCCAAGCGGATGCCTTCAAGCCTCTTGGGCGGTTCGAGTCAACTTCCTTAGTTCGGGCCCAGTCGGGTCTGATTTGAGTGTGGGGGAGCAAAAGATGCGCCAGGGAGGGGGTGTCGTTAAGCCTGTGTTGCAACAGATGGCAGCGAGACTCGCCGACCAAAGTACTGTCGAGTTCCCCCCCTTCGCAATAGGCAAATGGGGTGAGTGGTACGAGTCCAAGGGGAGTCGCAAGGCAAAGCGGTATTGCTGCCGATAAGAGAACGAAGAAGAGCGAAGGGGGGAAAGCCCACTGATTCCATCCATCAATTGGCTTTTGCCCCTCCAGGAATTGATTGAATTGGGATTGGGATCGGGAGTGGACTGATTGGGGCTGGAATTGATGGAATGGATTGGCACAGATTTGGATTGGGTTCGGTTCGGATTTGTCGCGGCTAAGCCATGATTATTCCTGTCCATCAGCTTCGTCATCGTCTCTCGTCAGTCTGACTGAGTCTCGCTTGACAGATCAGATCAGCCCGCTTCGGTTGGTTTGGTTCGATTTTGATTTGCGTTGATTCCATTTGACAGCTCCAGCACCGCTCGGTTCGCATCACAACCGACAAAGAGGGACGATCCGGCCTGGTCGGATCTGCCATTGAGCCCTTTTCGTCTCCCTGCTCCTCGCAGCAATTGCTGTACATACTGCGTCGTGCTTGTACGGATTCGACAATTTGATCACCACACTCCAAGCTCCCGGGAGGCTTGATTGATCAGCAACCATGGGGGAGCTTCTTGGAAGCCAAACCAAAGAAAATCCCCCCCGGCCGGCTCCTCCAAGCCTCTCCGCTAGTGCCCCCAAGGGCCATGCCGTCCATGACACTATTATCCCGCGACAGCCCGCCGCATGACACCCCAAAAGAATCAAAATGGGGGGCGTGGGAAGAACAAGGCGGACGATAGAGAGGGAGAGAGAGGGAGGAGGACGAGGGAAATTCCCCAAGATGCTGTCGCACTGCAGAAACAAAACACACACCTATGGCACCAACATGGTGAGGGAAGCGCCCGCCCGATTGGATTCTTTCCTCCCCTTGGGCACGCCAATACGGGCCGCTTGCGCGAAGTCATTCCCGCCCTCCGCTCTGGCTGCCAGATTTGCTGCTCCTGCTCCACGCAAAGCTTATCGCAAGCCGCAAAAGAGGGCTGCCAGGATGCGACATCGTGACAATGCCGGGTGATGGACCTGATCAGGTCACGGGCACGCAGTTTTGGAGCCATCGCCAGGGTTCTCGAGCTTCTCGAGCTTCTTGGTTGCAGTCTATGGCCATTATGCGTGAGACCGGCTGCGTCATTGATTCGAGCATCTCGTCCTTGTTCAGCTCCGAGATGGCATGCTGCTAGATTTTCGATCGCAATTGGCACATGGCCATGGTCTGCGGACCAGAATCTCCCCCCCTCCCCCATCCCCTTCTCCCCCCACGGCACCAATGGCTGGATTTCTCTCGGCCTTGTGGGATAAATCCCCGCGCGCCTCTGCAAGTCGTGCTCCCGCTCTCTTTCTTTTGCGTCTGCCCCTTCGTCTCTCGCCCGGACAAGGGGATACGAGCGCCATGCAACTTTTGCATAGCCGCCGTATGCAACAGGGAAGCCCATGTGGCTGGAGAGGGGCCTTGGAGGCAAACCAGGCTGGGGCGCAGATCAAACGTGCTGCTCGACTCGCATTAATTAAGGCACAGATCTAGGGTGTATCCTTTCGGAATAGGCATAAGATGATCGGTAGGAACGGAGTCATCATCCAATAAGGGCGTTGGGGGTGCTCTGCTGTATTCGTCTCTGCCAAGAAGAGTGGTAGTTCTTGTGCTTCGTGATCGTGAAGTTGACGCCTACCAAGGATGCGGGAGATCTTGGTTGACTGGAAGCTTGGCGATATGGCAGGGATGAATTATCAAGATAAGCCGTAGCATTTGCATGATTTCCTAGGTATTGTTAGCCACATGTCATCCTCATCAAGCCAGCACGTCAAAGAGAATAAATCAAATGTAAAACAATAAGGGCATCGCCGGCCACTTTTATTTAACTAAGGGCACGCCGGCCACTTGTAATTTAACTAATTCCCATTATGTTCATTGTTCAGTTCATGTCCGTACGGCAATTTTTCAGCCTTGAAATCCTTTGTCATTTACAGTTCCCATAGGGCGTAGAAGCCCTTTTCTGCCAGCCTGAGCCCGGCTTACCGACACTCGCTCAGAATCACCGAAGCGGCGCAATCAGCACCGCTGCCGGTGTACTTGCAAGCCATCATCACAGCAATGGCCTTTTGCTTCATTTCCTCCGACTTGTCGCCGACAAGGACCTCGAGCAGCTTATGCGAGAGCTCTTCGGCAGCCCAGCGAGGCTTATAGATTCGGTTTCCGCAGAGGCCGACACCAAGACGTTCCACGCGTTGAGCGTAGTCGTAGCACACACCCCAAACTGGAAGAACAACCTGAGGGACGCCTGTGCTGTGAATTGTAAAAGATATTTGTTAGCTGAATTTGTCTTTTCCTGGATGAGAGGGGAATACAGTAGCGGGGTGAGATGAAAGAGTGCTTCTTAAGCAAGAGGTAAAACTTACACAATAGCTTCGTTGAACGAGTTGGCTCCGCCATGATGGACCGAGCACACGACGCTTCCGGTATTGAGGATGGAAATGGGCTCGGCTTGAATCCAGTCCATAACGCGGACGCGATCCAACGCGAACTCGTGGCGAAGAATGCGGGAAAGGATACAGGTTGGCTCATACACTGAGTAGCGTCCCTTTTTCTTGAGCTTCCACAGCACTTGGATAGGGCCTTTCTCGTCGTCCTTCTCGATGGAATTGATCACAATCTTCAAAGCCTTGGCCATCTCGACGGCTTGGCCTTCCGAAACTTTGAACAAAGCTCCCAAGTTGATGTAGATGGTTCGACCCTGGGCCAGCCACTCAGCCAGCTTAGGATTGGTGTCCACAAGAGGCTCAGAGCGACGGAGGATGGGACCACAGGGGACCACATGGGGAGGGATCTTGAGTGGGAAATCCAACTGCGGGAGGCTGCTCACCAAGATTTTGACACCCTCAGGACGGTTTTTGACAAGGTCGACGGGGCTGCGGAGAACGGTGTGGGCTGTCAGATACGACTGCACCTCCTTTCTCTGAGGGTCGTTCTTAATCGCCTTGTAGAGATACCAGGTGAAGTGGATGTTGAGGGGAATCTTGCTCCAGGGCACCGGATAGTCAAATCCAGAGAACAGGCTAGAGAGTCTGGTTAGCCATCGCACAACAAAAGACAGGGATGAGGAATGTGCATGAACGATGCATTCTATTTGGACTTACGCAGGGAATTTCCAGAGACCAGCCTTGTGAGGCTGCTCAGCCGCGGCAAATTCCTTGATGGAGTTGGGGCCAAGGCAAATGAATTTGACTTCCAAATGGTAGCAGGCAGTCAAGCCGGCCGACATGAGGCTGTCAACGACAACCAGGTCGGCATTCAGGTTTCTGATGATGTCAACAATCGAAGTGAAGACGTCGACCATCTGACGTCCAGTGTACGGCATCATGAGGGACGCAAAAGCGCGGATGGCACTGCGAGTCTTGGCGAAACCAGCGTTTCTAGCGGGCTTGGTAACGACGCCATCGCGTTGGGCACGGTTGAGGTGTTCCTCGAGGGCTTGATACATACTGAGACCCTTGATGGTATGGTAGGTCACGCCAGTGGGGAGGGCATCATCTGGAAGGCCCTGGAAGGTGGCGAGATGAAGGTCCAAGTTGGGATCAGCCTCGAGCAGAGACTGAGCCGTGGCGACGAAGACATCGAGCTCGCCACACTCGATGTTCGTGATTAGCAGGATGCGTTTAGGGAAGAAGGGGGCCATGATGAGGTTTTGACTCAAATGCCTGAGCGGGTGTTTGGTTGGTTGGGAAAGAAGGAAGGGTTGAGAAAGAAAGGGTGGGAGAGAGGAGCAGGAAGGGAAAGAATTTCCATGCCCTGGGGGTTATGCCTCGACGCGGTGAATGAGGGTTCTGCTCTACAGGTGCCTGGCACTGCCAGCCCCTGTGAGCCCTCCTCACTTTGCCGTCACTTTCTTCTTACACTCGAACAGGTACAGGGGTAAGGACGTGTGCAGACCCAGACACTCTTCATTTCTCTTTCTTTGGTTCTTTTGGGTGCATTTGTCTAGGAGAGTGTTCCATTCTATTCCAATCTACCGGATTTGCAATGTCTTAGTCTCACTTTATGTATCAAACTGTTGATCGATTTGGCCCCCCAACATTGGTAGCTTCCTCTCCTCCCCCTACCTCCCTTCCACAACGCAATCAAGACGAAAGCGATGCAAATGCTTGCAGATTTGTACACTCGGAAACGAATGCTGCATGTAATTCACTCTAGAGCGTTTATCGGCTGAAAGCACCCATCACAGATGTTTCCATGCATGGTGCATCCCTTGGGATGGCCTCGAGGATTGAGAATGCCGTTTCCGGACGAAAAGAACGAAATGGCCACGATACTCCCAATTTGAGAAAAATCACGCCATAACGATGCTTCTCCACGATACTGTCCATTAGAAACAGTCAAAGAAGCCTCGGAACATTGCTGCTCTCTCTTAGCGATGCTCTGCTCCCATACGGAACAGGGGAAGGGCGCGTGGCCACAAACATGGGAGCTGCACTACGTGTAAGCTATTTTACTTCAAGCACTTTGAGATACGCGTAAATTAATTATTGATCATATGCTTAGGATTTCAATTAATGACTAAATGCTGCAGCCTGGTCAAAGGTTTTCTCAATCGTCTCTGCCAGCTCCTTCACCGTCAACTCGTCCCTAGGAACTGTATGTCCCTTCCCATGGTCGAACAAAATCGCCATATCCTCGTCGCACATCCCATAAAGTGTGATGGCTCCATGAATATATGGATCGTTACAACCTACAACATGACACGTCGGTATGTCGATCATTTCGTCGTGCTGATCAGCAAGCAGCGTCTGAACGCGGCCGTCGATGATACGGACAGGAGGCCAACCCGCGAAGAAGATGGCACACTTATGCCCAGTCAGCAGCCTTCTAAAACAAATCAAAGAAAGGAGCAAAGAAAACAATGCTATCGAACCTTGATGTGCCGAGGGCGGCCTTGCTCTCTGAAAAGACGCTGCTCTTCGAGAATTAGGCTGGCTGCAGTTGTAGCTCCTTCCGAGTACCCAAGAATTCCCTTTTGTCAAACCACGTCAGCGTTGATACTGCGTATCGTGTATAGTGATCCAAACTCACGTCAATCTCTGGATCCTCATCCAGAAGCTGTAGCAGCCGATTCAAAGCCATCGTTACAGCTGGAGTCGTAAACTGCTCCTTATCGGCAATCAGCCTCCGCATCGTCTCCTCAGGAGAGTCTCCCTGAGGAATATCCCTGATCTTGACAATCATCTGCTCTAGTTCACTCATGCCATCAATATCCATGAAGCGGTACAGAGGCGGAGCGCCAAAGTAGTCGTCAAAGCCGGCCGGGGGCGTTGCCTTGGTGAAGCCGTTGATCCATTTGAACTCCACGCCAGGCCGCTTTGCAGCATCGGTAAAGATGCCTAGCTGAACTTTGAAGTTCTGAGAAACGCAACATTAGTACCAAAATGGAAATAAAGGAGAGAAATTTGACATTGGTACTTTAACCCACCGAAGCACTGCCAAAGGCACCGTGGAGGCAGAGGACTTTCATGATGCTCAGAGTGACGCGTGATGCCGATCTAGCTTGTTCAAGGCAAACTCCCAGCAGGATGAGAGTGAATCGGGAAGATATCTCTTTCCACACGATTATTTGAGCTTGTTCCTTTCCTTATCTCGGGCACTTGCCGAACATATCAATGTCCAATTTAGCTCAAACCGCTTTGATAGCTTCCATCCCTCCATTCCGCATAGGGAATGAAACGAGGGAGCCACAAAGCGGGAGCGGCGGCGGCGGAGGAGAGGCGTCCAAACTGAGACAGTCTCGGAAGGGGGGTATCGCTTTCAAACCCAATTTTTTACGGATTCGATCACTCATGACATGATTTTACTCCGTGGCCTGTACACTGCCTCTTTGAATCATCTTTACGTCCAAATTTTCGAAGTTGATGCCAAATGAGCAGCAAGGAGGGACAGAGTTATAATGGCCAATAAGCATAACATGGATTCGTAAAAGAGGGGGAAGACATGGGCTCACTGTGGCATACTGTCAGATACCCATCACAAACCCACACATTGAAGCCATCAAAGGAGACTACTACACAGCCTGACGCCGTCCGGTCTTCAAGCTGGATCCGTATTTCCTAGGGGCCACGTCTGGCTGCGATATATGCCAAACTTTTACCGTACCCCACAAAGCTCAAGGCTACGTATCCCAACACCACCTTTTCTACGCTCGAGGGCCAGTCATTTCACCTTGTAGAAATGTCTCGGCATAGAAATGTCTCGGTAATGTTGCTTTCAGTGGTGGTGTTGCTGAAATGGGCAGGCAAACCCCAGCCCAGATTGGTTTCCTCCCGCCCGCAACATCGGATCATTTAAAGACATACGCCACGAATAGATAAAAATGACGTCTTCTGTTCTTCGCTTCAAGTTTGTCAAGTCCCTATAAAATGACGGTTCGGAGCATTAGCAATAGATACATGCTAGCGATGTGGAGTGCCCAGTTACCTCGACCGAAAATCGATGTCCCGTATGCAACCACAATTTCTTCAAGGGTTGCGCCGCATATCGAATCGAAGAACTCAGTTGGGAGAACTGATGTGCAAGTCGATACGCTTTCATCTTCGTTATCATGTATGTGCCAACAGCAATCAGAGGCATGTCGATGACCTGATCCCTTCATGATGTTGGTCCCAATATTGGTTGGTTGAAGCTGTGCGATCTACCACCTTAACACCTTATTTCCTTCGACATGTTTCAAAATTTGGCGCTTTAGCAACTCACTACGGGGCATTTTATCCATATGTGGTCGGCCCGAGAAGACCTGGTGACTCGATGCATGCAGCAAATCAGGGTCCAAGCGGAATAAATCGGTGAGACATCTCACGCACGGTTTCGGTGATAGCCATACCATTTTGTTCCCTTTGTAAGACAAAGAAAATGACTCCTCTTCTCCGATAAATATGGCTTTATCATAGGTCCAACGACTTGGCTCGCATGGAGTACCGACGGGGTGGTTGCAGTGGCGTGCCTCGAGGCCGCAAACTACTGTTCATGCTCATCAGCCACGCGAATTCTGGCTGATGTTTACGGAAATTAAGACCACATCGTCATGAAAGTGGTGTCATGAGTTCCAATATCTGTTTGTAAAGTCCGTTGGTTGTGTTAGGGAATCTCTCCGCCAAACCGTAATGGAAACTACATGTAGTATCTGTACTTGTAGAGCGATATCACATAGAACCCGGTATTAAACCAACCTCTCCGCACCATCCATGGCTTTTATTTTGTTCTCCATCTTTCCCCAAACTTTTGTGGGATGTAGGGACTAAATTTTCCGCGCTGAACTATCTCTTCACATCTTTGGCATTTTGAGATAGAGGTTTCCCTTACACATCATGTCTTCAAGTCAAGACTCGAATCGGGAGCGCCCGATGCCCATCGCCATAGTCGGCATGTCTTGCCGTCTATCGGGTGGCGTCTCAACACTTGACGACTTTTGGACCATGCTGTCGCGCTCCCGGGACGGCTGGCGGCCTATTCCTGAAGAGAGATTCACTCCCAAGGCATTCTATCATCCAGATCCGCAGAAGAAAGGCAGTTTCAATAATAAGGGTGGCTATTTTATAAATGGCGATTTGTCCAACTTTGATGCACCGTTTTTTCAGATTACCAGACAAGAGGCCGAGGCTATGGGTATGGATGTCCCTCTCCCTATGTATCAGCATCCGTACGAGTATGTAGATTTTCAGAAGGCTTACGCTCTCTTGTAGATCCCCAACAGAGACATCTTTTAGAGTGCACGTACGAAGCTCTGGAGAATGCCGGGATTCCTAAGAATACCATTTCTGGGAGCAACATGGGAGTCTTCATCGGCGGCGCCTCCTCAGATTATCGGCTTGGCACGTTGAAAGAAGTTGATCAGATACCCATGTATGATGCCACAGGCAATCACCAGTCCATTCAGGCCGGCCGTATCTCTTATTACTTCAATCTTCACGGGCCTTCATTTTCAACAGACACAGCATGTTCATCCGGCCTATATGCACTTCATTTGGCAGTACAGAGCATCCGCTCGGGAGAGTCGGACTCGGCTATTGTCGCAGCATCCAGCCTGCATCTACAGCCTCATGATATGGTCTCCATGTCAATGCTAGGGTAAGCAGCAAGATTGTCATTGAGTAGACGAGCGACTGTTGACGTATTGCAGACTTTTCAATGAACACGGCAAAACATTTGCATTCGATCACAGAGCAAAGTCTGGCTTTGCTCGAGGTGAGGGCACAGGCTGCCTCATTCTGAAACCTCTTCACAAAGCTCTTGAGGATAAAGACAAAATACGCTCCGTCATTATACACACCGGTGCGAACCAAGATGGCAAAACCACAGGACTGACAAATCCTAGTGGTGAGGCACAAGAGCGTTTGATACGTGAAGTGTATGCGAGAGCAGGCATCTCTCCTGAGGACACTGGATATGTTGAAGCCCATGGAACCGGTACGAGAACCGGCGATCCCATCGAAGCTAATTCCATATACCGTGTTTTCGGCGCGGGCCGTACAAAGCGCATGCCTTTGTATATGGGCTCAGTTAAATCCAATGTTGGTCACTTGGAAAATGCAAGTGGAATTATATCCGTCATCAAAGCGTCCATGATGCTCGAAAAGGGCTTCATCCTTCCCAACATCAATTTCGAAAAGGCCAACGAGGCGATTCCCCTCGACGAATGGAACATTAAAGTCCCAACTAGCATACGGCCGTGGCCGCGAAACAAGCGCTACATCAGCGTCAACAGCTTCGGTTTCGGGGGCTCTAATGCGCATGTTGTGCTGGAAAAGGTTCCGTTCTCGCTTCGTGACTCTCCTCACGATAACCAGAACGTGACTCCCAGGTTATTCGTCCTATCTGCTCATGATGAAGGTGCAGCCAAGCGAGTGGTTGAAAAACTTGGCATCTACATTGAGCAGCATCCTGAGGTCTTTCAGAAGCGATTGGTTAGGGACATGGCTTATACGCTCGGTGAGAGGAGGACACATCTGCAATGGCGCATCGCCATTACAGCATCATCTTGCGATGAGTTGGCAAATGCGCTCAACGGTGTCGGTGCCACGCCTGTAGTAGCTTCCAATGAGCCGAAAGTGGCATTCGTGTATACCGGCCAGGGAGCGCAATGGGCGGGAATGGGCAAGGAGCTCATGGAAAGCCACCCGGTATTTGCCAATACCATCAAAGCATGCAGTGACTATCTGCAAGAGATTGGTGCCGAGTTTTCTCTTTTGGCTGAGCTGGCCAAGGGAGAAAAGGAAACGCTGGTCAACGAGGCACATATTTCGCAGCCTGCATGCACAGCTATTCAAATTGGCCTTACGAAGCTCTTAGAGTCCTGGGGAATCGCTCCGTCAGCAGTTATTGGTCATTCCAGTGGAGAAATTGGAGCTGCTTTTGCTGCTGGCTCTATTAATATTGAAGACGCCATGTCTGCGGCCTACTGGCGTGGCAAGGTTTCCTCAGATATGAGGCTGAAGCACCCAGATCTTCGAGGTGCCATGCTCGCTGTGGGTGCTGGAGCTGAAGAGGTCAAGGGCATCATCAAGACTCGAGGCCTGCAAAACGTCACTGTTGCCTGTGAGAATTCTCCGGACTCCATTACAGCTTCTGGAGACGAAGAAGATGTCGATAAGCTTGCCGCAGAATTGGAGACCCGAAGCATCTTCAAACGCAAGCTGCGGGTGACAGTGGCATATCACTCTGCTCATATGCAACTCGTTGCAGACGATTACAAAGCCGCGATCAAGAACATGAAAGACAAAACCACCTCTAAAGTCGAGTTTTATTCCTCTCTAGTTGGCAGGAAACTCGATTCGGCGATGTCTCTTGGTCCATCCTATTGGGTCGATAACTTGACCAAGCCGGTGCTCTTCTCACCAGCTCTCAAAGAGCTTTATGAGGGCACAAAGCCGGATGTCATTATCGAAGTTGGTCCGCATTCTGCCCTTGAGGGCCCAATCAAACAGATATTAAAGAATATCAGCTCTCAAGCTGCCATGGGAGTGAAATATTTGTCTTGCCTCATTCGAAATCAGCATGCCACCTCCACTGCTCTGGATTGCGCAGGTAGCCTATTTGTTAAAGGTCACCCAATCAATTTGAGGAAAATCAACCATCCGAACGCAAGTCTACGCTTGCCTGCTGTTGTCTCAGATTTTTATCCGTATCCTTGGTCAGAACACAAGTACTGGTTTGAACCTCGTTCATCCAAGCAGTTGCGTCAGAAGCCATTTATGCGTCATGATCTCTTGGGTCTCTTGGAAGATTCGTATAGCGATATTGAGCCAAAATGGAAAAACGTCATTTCAACAGATGATGTTCCATGGCTCAAAGATCATCGGATGCAGTCCTTAGCCACATTCCCACTGGCAGGCTACATCTGTATGGCTGTGGAGGCGGCGTCACAACGCGCTCAGCTGAGAGATATTCCAGCTGAGCAAATCGACGGTTTCCGTCTTCGAGAAATTCAGGTTTCCAAGGCTCTCATACTCGACGACGGTGCCCCATATGAGATGATATTTTCTCTGAAGCCTTATGCTGAGGGCACAAGATTCAATTCTAGTGACTGGGATGAGTTCCGCATCTCCTCGTGGACCTCAGCCAGAGGTTGGTTGGAGCATTGTAGTGGCCTCGTCGGTATCAAAAAGGCCGCTCCAATCAATCCTGTTAGTGATGGACTATTGCGCGCCGCTTCTATCCGTCGCCAGCATACTCTGGGCATGAGCTGTCACCAACTCCCCATGGATGGCTTCTACTCCGAACTAGAGTCTCGCGGAGCGGGATATAGCGGAGTCTTTAGAATCTCGCCAGACGCTGACGTGAAAATCCACGAACAGTACTCTACTGCGTCTTTGACTATCCCTAACACAGCAACTGTTATGCCGGCATCCTTTGAGCCAGCATCCATTGCACCCGCAGCATTCGTGGATCTATTGTTTCAGCTTACCTTTCCAATATTGGGCGCAGGCAGTGGCGAGATGCCTTCTCTCTTCATGCCGTCCGCTGTTAAAGCAATTGAGATAAGCAGCAAATTCCCAAACACTCCTGGAGAGCGGGTGCAAGTAGTCGCGCATGGGTGTCCAGACTTTACAGCTCCTGGACCCGTCGACTTTTTCATCGATATGTGGTATCAAGATGCCATTGAACCTGTGACAAAGATTAGTGGGTTCAGGATGACGCCAGTGAATGGCGACATCGATGATGGTGTTAGTCCGCGATCTATCTGTTACAAGGTACAGTGGGAGTCTTTGGATGAAGTAAATGAGAAGGCAGAGAGGGGTGCAAAGGAGAATTGTGCCATTGAAAACGGCCATGAAAATGGTGATTCTTCTGGTAAGATGTCCGCGAGCAGCGAGGCAAACGGTACAAAGAGCCATGCCAGTGGACACTATGATGGCCCCAAAATGACTCCCGAGCATGTGAACGACAACAGCGTGATAGGTAACGGCAGTAATGGAACCATCGGCGAGGTTGCGGCGTCTAATCTTAATGACGGCTTAAGTAATGCCGACTTCGTCTTAGTTTCTCATCGCGATGGAAGCGATCCTCTCGTGGGAACTCTTTTGGATCTTCTAGAGCTGCGAACCACGAAAAGGCCACGACTAATTGACTTCTCCAACCTCATTCCTGAATCTGGTTGTTGCTACATCTGTTTGTCTGAAATAGACGAGCCGCTGCTTGCCAATATGACAGAAGAGATATTTGAAAAGATGCAGAATCTGCTCGTTACCTGTCAGTCTGTGCTCTGGGTGACCTCTGGAGCATATAGGTTTGCAGAACAGCCAGAGAGCAACATTTCGCAAGGACTCCTACGCACAGTACGTTCTGAGGCAAACAAAGCTGTAGCCTCTCTTGACTTGGATCCTCATTCGACGCTTGATGTGCTGGATACAGCTGAGCTCATTCTTCGTGCCGTCAAAGTTTCCATTGCAACGCCAGAAGATGACACTCCTGTTGACTACGAATTTGCGGAGGAGGGGGGCAAGCTCATGGTTCCCCGTGTTGTTAAGCAAGAAGATATGAATCTTGCAATCTTTCACGACACACAGGCTACAGCCGCACCGCCCTACTTGCAGCCATTTGAACAGCCTGGACGACGACTCACTGTTGCTGTCGGTACTTATGGCGCTCTTGACTCTCTTTACTGGAAAGATGAAGACGAGACACCCTTGGGCCCACACGAGGTTGAGATCAAAGTCGCGTGCACAGGCATGAACTTCAAAGACGTAGTTATCGCAATGGGCCAGGTGGCCAGTCCGTACCTCGGCATTGAATGCAGCGGCACGATATCTCGCATCGGCTCGTGTGTTAGTTGCCTAAAAGTTGGCGATCGTGTCTGTGCCATGTCGCTGGGTGCGTATAGCACGTTCGCTCGATGTCCTGCATCCAGCGCTGCTACTATCCCAGACGATATGAGTTTCGAGGTTGCAACATCGATTCCTGTTGTATACTGCACCGCCTATTACGGCATCATGGACCTTGCTCGACTGGAGTATGGCGAGAAGATATTGATTCACGCCGCAACTGGCGGTGTTGGACAAGCAGCCATTCAGCTGGCGCAGATGGTTGGCGCAGAGATTTATGCCACCGTTGGGAGCGCAGACAAGAAAAAGTTCCTGATGGATACATATGGCATCCCAGAAACACGTATCTTTTACAGTCGAGATGTTTCGTTTGGCCCAGCCGTTCGGGAAGCTACTAGTAGCCATGGGGTTGATGTTGTGCTCAATTCACTTGCGGGAGATCTCCTCCGCGAGACATGGGAATGCCTTGCACCGTTTGGTCGCTTCATTGAGCTCGGAAAACGGGATATCACAAATAACACAAGACTCGAGATGGCCAAGCTTGAGTACAACTGCACTTTCAGCTCGGTAGATTTGACGCTTCTTGCGGCAAGGCGGCCCAAACTCATGCAACGTACCTTTGCATCCGTCATGCACCTCCTCGAAAATAAGACAATCCAACCTATCGGGCCAATCACACCTGTCAACATCCAAAATGTCGAGGGAGCGCTTCGCAAATTGCAAAGCGGCAAGACGACAGGGAAGCTGGTGGTGACGCATAGTGGCCAAAGTCAAGTCAAAGCTACACACCCTGCGCCTCGCTCAGACATGCTGGAGCGCGACGCAACTTATCTGATTATTGGTGGAACAGGTGGTCTCGGACGCTCAATCACAAGACGGATGGTGAGGCTAGGTGCTCGCCACATCATCTTGCTCTCGCGGAGCGGCAAGGTAACGGATGACTTGACTAAGTTGATGAAGGAGAGTCGAAAGTTGGGAGCTTCGATATACGTTGTGCCTTGTGATGTTGCAGATGAGAAGAGTGTCCAAGCATTGGTGGAGGAGCTGCAGGACGATTTGCCCCCTATTAGGGGCATTATTCATGCCGCCATGGTCCTAAGAGTATGTCTTCCCTTTCCACCCAAGAGAATGTATCATTATTGCTTGCTGAGCTCACCACTAACTGATATCCTAGGACGTCCTTTTCGAGAAAATGACCTTTGAAGACTATGAAGCTGTTGTTAGAAGCAAAATTTCTGGAGCGTGGAACTTTCACAAAGCGCTCATCAATACTCCACTCCAGTTTTTTATCGTTTTATCGTCTGTTGCTGGCATAGTGGGCAACAGAGGCCAAGCACACTATTCTGCTGCCAACACGTACCTTGACGCTCTTGTCTTGCATCGACGCCGCAAAGGCCTTGCAGCCGCATCAATCGATCTCGCTGCGGTTGAAGGAGTCGGTTATCTGGCAGAAAATGCAGCCAAGATGTCGCAGGTCATGAGGAACTTGTCTGATAACACTGTAGGCGAGGCGGAGGTATTGGCATTAATCGAATCTGCCATGACAGGCAGAGTCGATTTCTTCTGCCAAGGTCAAGTGATTACTGGACTCGGCTTCGACAACGCATCGGCAATGCCGTTTTACGCCTCGGATGCTAAATTTTCTTACCTCCGTGATGCTCTGCTCGCCACATCAGGCGACGTAGATATATCTTTGAGATCTGAAATCCTGACCATTTGTCAGCAGCTTCGAAGATGTACCACTGTCAAGGAGGCTCAAGATGTTGTGACACTTGGCCTTCGAGACAAGCTCGGCGCTATCCTGATGCTGCCTGAAGAGGTGATGGCAGCACGGCAGGGAAACACATCCATCACAGCCTTTGGACTTGACTCACTTAATGCCATTGAACTGCGGAATTGGATTGGGAAAGAGTTGCAGGCCCATTTGCAGGTGCTGGAGCTGCTTACAAGCGGTCGAGTTGCGGATTTGGCAGGGCTGGTGCTTCGGAAGTCGAGAATCGAGGGAGTGTGGACGGAGAAGTGAGCATGACTTGATCATTGAGTGTTTTGGTTCTGTCGCATTGTTAGTTTGCTTGTTAATGCACGAAATTGGCAGCGAGTCATACAATAATTGAATATTTCACAAGTCTCTGAATAATCATGGATGAGTAGTGAAGGTTCAACAAGTTCGGAATGACGTCTTCTTTCACAGTGATCAGCCCCACCTGCACAAGAGCGTGTCGTTCTTTCCTTTTGCTCGACGGTGCGCACGTTTGCCTAAGGCATCCAGTCTTGGCAAAAACGATCATCATGATGAATTAGTACGGAGTAGGTAATTTCCATATCGATCCGGGAATAATCCAGAATTCAAAAAGTCGTGCACAATGCCAGAAACAGAAACAGAAACGAACTGCCGAGGCCTAAATCATTTCCAATAGCTGCCAAGATAGCCAAGACAAAGCTGAATTGGGGAATTTCTGACAGGGTCAGAATTGATTAAAAAGCAGGCTAGCGGTATCTTCCGCGGAGCGCTAAACCATCGCAGGCTAAATTTGCCGAAAGGGGAACTGCCGATGTTCCGCCCCGCTTACGTACGCCATCCCAGCCTTAGTAACGGGCCTTGAATGAGTCTTGCGCTAATGAGATCATCGGCGTCAATCTACCCTGTAAGACCAGAATTACTGAAACAGGAAATGAAGGAGAAAGCCGAGATGAACGATAGTTTGTAATTTTGGGATTCTTGATGAGGAAATGTTGAGATAATGTTGAGATTTACATTGAGATTGATATAGCGAATGAAATTTTTGATGGCTTCATGAATAGTATATATATCGCGGGTAGTTTCTGAATGAAGAATATCAATCATCTCATCAGCACATTAACAAACACACAGCACACAAACATTACACATTAAACAACACAATCTTATTACCGTCTCAACAAAGAAGATATTCACTTTCATCTACTATGGGCTCTGAAACTAAATCTCAAGATCTTCCTCTTTCTGGTGTTGCTCGAGATGGCTGGTCGACCGATACCGAAGCCACCGCAACCTGCTTCTGCGGCGCTGTGCAGATCGTCTTTGTATGTTCATTGCATATTTACAACACTGGAACATTCTCATTTCAAAAAGAACATTGTGTATGCTAACATTATCATCCGAAAACTAGCCCACTGAAGCTCCTGGCCTGGTCAACACTTTTGTCTGCAACTGCTTCGACTGCCGCAAAGTCACCGCTTCCATGTTCGCCTCCAACTTCACCGTCGACAGCTCCTATATCAAGCATCTTCGCGGCCAAGACAACTTGACCCGATGGGGCCAGGACAAGACGCCTACGAGTGGAACTGAAATGTCCAACTTTTTCTGCAAAACCTGCGGCACCCTCATGTATCGAAGAAGCGCGCTTACGCCGCACCAGAGCTTCATGAGAATTGGCACAGTCGATGACTTCAAGCTACATGAGACTAAGCTGCGACCCCAGACCGAGATCTTCACGGATTCCCGCGTTAGCTGGTGGCATGGAGTGGATGGAGCGAGCAAATTCTCGGGTCCCTTTAAGAAGGCGAACATGTAGAGGGAAAACGAGATGTGGAAATGACCCGTCCTGGTCAATTGACAATGGCACAACACCTATAGATATCAATCTGAACAAATAGGCACTATACTGTGGCTTTCCCAGCGTGACGTGTCAAATGTGTGGCTGCTTACGAGCCGCACTCTCGTTTTAAGCATACCGTAGGTCGCCAAGATGATGCATATGCACACAGAGCCAGGTGGGCAGATCTCGATTGTATAGAGCATATCGTGTGTCTCGCCAAGAGCATAATCGGGAATTGGGAACTACATAATACAAAGTGTCAAGAGCGCCCTGTCATCCTCCTGTCCTACCCGAGCCGAAGCCATGTTTCCGCCATGCATTCCGCCGCATTACGACGCCATCTACATCATGATCCCACTCTGCCGCAGCTCAGCCTTTGACAAGCCGATGCGACGCCCGACCATTGGCACCCAAACGGAGCGGAATCGTTCTAGACGGCTGGGACGGTTGCATTGAGTCACGCGCCGGCGAGACGCTTGTGGGCTGATGCCTGAGCCAACACATGATCTCACGAGATTCAGCTCCCGAGAGAGACACGGCTTTGAAGCCCTTCGCTATGCCTACTGGAGACAGCGCCTTGCCACTTGCATGCTAGCATCTTGGTCCTGGCTAATCCTGGACTCGGTAATTGTCTGAGTCCGGAAACCCCCGCATCCCAAAATACGATGCTTGGCGCGTCGATCCCGCCAAAAGCTCCTCCGCTAGCGGCCGGCTTTGCCTCACTTACAGCCGGAGCTCTACTCTCACCGTCTTCGACCAGTCTACAACGAGCAAAACGAGCTATACATCTTACGCAATGGAAAAGAGCAAGTAATCCTCTGGCCTCGTATTCACTGTACAACCCATCATGCAGCTCTCAGCCACAGCTTCTCGACTTTCACCGCTAGGTGAAGGCTCGTTTGGGAATCGAGGTGCTCGTATTCCGAGAGGGTTTAAGCTTAACAGGGAAATGCGGATTATGCAGATCCCCCGGAATACGTGAGGCTGTTAAGATGTGCTGGCCAATTTTGCCATCAATGAGCCGTCAATGAGCCGTAAAGGGTACGAATTATACGGGATACTCGGTAAGAAGCGTACGAAACGTAGCATTGGGCATCTATAAAGGCGTTCGCATTGAGAGGGCTTTGACAGATATAAAAAGGGAGGGTAGTTCCCGTTGAAACAAGACTATTTAGCAGATCAACTCACACTCTCAAGACTTACACAAGACTCACAACAACAAACCAATACCATCTTCAAACATCTTCAAACATCTTCAAACTTTCCACAGTTCAGCCAAAATGAAGTTCACCACCACTGCCGTTCTTGCCATTGCCGCATTCGTTGAATCGGCCACTGCTCTGGGCAAGGCCCGCGTTGTCAACAAGTGCCCCTTCAGCATCACTCTCTGGTCTGTCGGCAGCGCCATCTCCCAACCCACAACCCTTGCTCAAGGCGGTTCCTATGGCGAGACCTTCTCGCGAGACCCCGTAACCGGCGGTCGTGCCATCAAGGTCACCGTTCAGCCTGATGGCCTCTACACTGGCAAGCCCCAGACCATCTTTGCCACCAACCTCGAGGGCAACACCATCTGGTACGACCTTTCTGACGTCTTCGGCGATGCCTTCAACGGCCACAAGGTCGTTGTTTCCAGTGCCAACACCGCTTGCCCCCAGATTGTTTGGGGTAGCGGTATCCCTCCTGCTGGCAGCCAAGTCAAGAACTGCGGTGCGGATAAGGATGTGACCTTGACTTTGTGCGCTTAGAGTCATGCACGGATGGAAATATTTCAAGGCAACGGAATTGATGGGTCTAAATCGAGTTTATGATAGAATTCTACGTCCTAGTCATGTTTAGGTCTTATGATAGTATGAATTTATGAGTTTATTTCATTCACCTAATCGTCTCATGGCTCTGTCGCTTCATGATTACTCACCCGCCTTGGTGAAATTAATAACTCATCTGTCAAAATTAACGACTCGCCCTTACTGGAAATTACACTGCGCCTTATTCATTGGAGAAAAGTAATTGCTGTTATACTCCCTCATGTGAATGTGCGACGAGTCGCTTTGCAGTTGTTGGCCGCGATGATTGGTGTACTAAGGCAATTGTGAGGGATCACCGTGGGATCAGTTGGGATCACGTGCAAACGACGAGGGCAATGAGAGAAAACAAATTAGAGAACCGAAGGCACTGAACTCAACTACGAAAGCAAGCAAGGTGACTGAGTATCTGAAGAGTGTGATGATCAAGATGAAAAACTAAGCGAGGTGTAGAGGGGTCACGTGACTCACAACAGCAATGGCCATTGCTCGCCAGTCTTTGAAGCATGCATGTGCATAGAGCCCTTGGTTCTGGCAGTTTCACAAACAAACATGAAATAAAATTAAAAATAAACCTCATGCTTAATTAAAAATAAATGTCTCTGGTTCGCCAAAAAATGAAATCTCCGATACTGGGAATCGAACCCAGGGCTGCTCGGCACTCGAAGGATGAGAGCGAGCGATGTTAGCCACTACACCATATCGGATGTGTTTCTTGATATTGATGCCGCCCGAAAAATTACTCCATGAGCCTTTGGCAAAAATTTCACTGTCCCATCAACAAGCATCCTTCTTTGGATTGCAAATGAGTTTATGATTCGCTACCCTGATTATATACATTTCCCTGTCCCTCGAGAGAAGCTAAAGATCATGTGTCCTTTTCTTTATACACAACATTTCCATCCTATGCTTCCGTTGTATTGTACTGGATGTTAAACGTCTGCGTAAGCATGCTCTCATAGTCCTTCGCGTTGTTAACATCTCCATAGATGCTCAACGCCCTGATCAAGAACTGATAGCTTCCCTCGGGAACGATGGTCCCTTCTTGCGTCATTCCGGTGAATGCATTGACGAAAAAGGATCTTCCAGTGAATGGAAGAGGGTAGCCAGGAAGACTTCCAACGATATCGACGCCTAGTACGTTTGTCGTGTTGACCTTGCTTTTTGTCTCACCAACAGCGACGAGATCCGCTCGAAGAATTGGCGTACCAGCATCAATCTGCATGATGGGAGCGGGATAATCCGGCGGAGGGTCAATTGGCTGCGGGTACCCGTCAACAGGAGGAGGTATGATAAAGGTAGTATTGTCGAGAGCCGGCGTTGTTGAGTAAACGTTGTAATGAATCATGTAGTTGAAATCAGGGTCAAGTATCGGAAGCTTGGCTAGGCTGCCAACAACTCCCAAGTAAGGGACAACGAGTCCTTCACTATTCGTACCGTTCAGGGTGATGTATCCGCTATAAACGGGAATAGCGGAAGCATTCAGCCCACGGGGAGGCGTTGCTACCACGGTGATATCGGCCGACTTTCCTGTCGGGACTGTGATCTTGTTGTGGGAAAAAGCAAGCTTGGCTGAAGCGCCCTCGGCGATGGGGTTCGGGAATGGAGCCGGGAAGTGGCTGTCGCCATTTCCGTATGTGTACATGGTCAGAGACGGAGTGTGGCCGATTGTATATGTGACGCTTCGCCTTCCCGTGTTCTTGATCGAGAAGCTAGCCTTCTTGACAAAGTTGTCTGTATCGTTGAATGCAATGTTGGGGACGCTGAGCAAGGTCGTTGCGTGGGCGGCTTTGTAAGCTTGAGCCAAACCCGCGCCTTGCTGTGCTACAGGGGCCAACTCATTGGCATGCAGGGTTGTTCCATCGTAGAAGGGTAGCTGCAGGGCTGTTGAAGATACCAAGTTCATCAGAGTCTTGGGGTCTCTGATTCCTCGTGCTTGCATGATCAGGGCGTAGACTGAGGCCATGAGAGGCGTGGCCATGGAAGTGCCTTGATCAATATAGTAGCCTCCGGCGGGCAAGGGCCAGGTAGAAAGAATCGAGCCTCCTGGTGTAGTGATGGAGGGATTGATATCTGCCTGCCACGTCGGGCCCCAGCTTGTGAAAGTGTCAATGTAGTTGGGATTGACGGCATTGGGAACAAAGACGCCAGACTTGGCGCTGGATGTCGGCTGGACCAAGGTCAAATACAGGTCCTGGCCGCTGCTGATTTGCTTTTGCCACAAGACACCCTGCGAATATCCAGTCATTCCGAGACCTAAGGCGTCGGTAGCTCCAATGGACCAAGGGCTGCAGGTCAGGACATGTTAGTTGTTATGTGTTGCCAAACAGAGATGGGGCTCAAAAGACTTACTTTCCGGGACCATCCAAGTAGAACATGTAGTACTTGGCATTTCTCAACTGCAGATTAGCTACTTCGGTCCAAGAGTCGCATTGATCATATAGCACGAGAACAACTTTATCACTAAGGTCAGCCGGCGCTTTGTCGTTGAGGGGATTGCAAGCGCCATAAGTGCCATCTGTAGTAAACTCGGGTGTCACTGCCCACACTGGGAGTGTAATGTTGGGGAATGGGTAAACTCCAGGGGTGTAAACAAAGAGAGTCTGGTTAGTTGTCGAGTTGCTCGTGCTCACATAGCCTGCTGTTCCCAAAAACGGCGTCCAGGTGCTCTCAACAGATGACACAGCCGTAACGCCCTTGCCGTTGGCTGGAGTGCCTGCAAGGAACAGTCCTGCTGAGCCCGAGTTACCGTTGGCTACAGTGCAAACAACACCGGCAGAGACCACTCTTGATACAGCAACCGAAAAGGAGTCTTCAGTCCAGCCAGATGATCCACCAAGAGAGATGGTGATGATATCCGCTCCGTCTTCGTAAGCCTTGTTGACAGCCGCAATGGCAACATCCGCTCCAACATCACCGGTGCAGCCAAAGACTCTGTACATGCCAATAGTTGCTCCAGGAGAGGCACCGGTGAAGCCCATGGGGTTTGGCAGAGCTCCAATGATGCCCGTGACGTGTGTTCCGTGGCCATCACAAGTACTGAAGGGCTCAGGACCGGGCACAGGGGTATTGCTGCCATTATAATCGTCTCCAACCATGTCCATTCCATAGCTGACAACACAGCCTTTGCCAAAGCATGCGCCCAATGCGGGATGGTTGAAATCAACTCCAGTGTCGATGATGCTAATCCTCACGCCTTTGCCTGTGATTCCCTCTGCATGAAGCTTATCGACTTGAACGGCGACGTGTGGCGCATAGGTGTCCTTCTCGGACGTTGCTCTGCGCAGCAGATCCGAAGCTTCCTTCAAGTGACTAAAATCACTGCTTATTGAGCTAATTGTTGTGTTGGCCGGTCGTTTGTAGAGCTGAACAGGCCATACCTGCTTCACGGAGGGAACGGATCCGATCTTGGCAACAGTAGAACGCGGATCAAGATCAATGGTGTTTAGTTGGAAAGAAGCTCCTTTGAACAGAGTATAATTGAGATTCAATCGCTTGGTTGCAGGAATGCCATGTCGTTGAAGGTCGCTAAACAATGATGCTTCTTCCTATATGCAACGGCAAGGTTAGAACGCCATATTCAGGCTGCTGTACCAACATTGGATGTAGGGCAATGGAAAAGTCAGATGAACATACATGGCCGTCTTCATACTCGACAAGGTAAGCACCTGGAATAAAAGACGACTCCCCCTTTGTCCAGTCTTCCTTTCCGTTAGCGATTCCATGAGGGCTCTGGGCAGCCGCTCTGGCACCATCCGTTAATAGCAGGCCCAAGATGGGCAGCAAACGGAGATATGCCACCATTTTGCCTTGGTAGCAAACAGTTCCGAGAGTTGAAACTCGCAATTATCGTACTGCTTGACCGGAACGAGGGCAGAAGCTCGTCCCAAGGCAGAACCCCATGGCTTTATATACCTCCAAAAAGATGCGTCACGACTTAATTTCCGTACCTGCCAAGGCCGTAACGTCTCATTCGATTCATATGTGCCGCTTGAGAATGGCCACACTCGTGCTGGCCATGGCGAGCTTCCATTTGCGATTTGCGATGCGGGGACCAGGATTCTCGATGGCACGCAATTGAGCAACGAAAACTGCATTTCTGAATGCCATCACTCTTCCAGATACGACGTAATACATGCGATGGGGGTTTAAAGCCTCTCGTCCCGCATACTTGGTGGACCTTGTTTATACCTTATTTGTGGTGTGACAAGGCCAATGCTGGTGAGCTCTCTCGATCGAAAAGGAAGGTCGAGTTTTGCATCGCCTTAACGGATCGAATCAGCACATTGATCGTTCATACTGTGCGGAGAACTTTTGTGCTCATCATATCTGCGCTCAGGGACCTTCTAAATGGGGACGAGAAAAAGCTTACCTTGAGCAGGGATAGATTTAGTTCGGCATCTCGTACCAAGTTGATCTGGTTCGACTCGAGTTCATCCTACGGATGTTTTGTCAATAGATTAGTCTCGTATGCATAGTGGATTTGACTAGCAACAAGGATCGTCATGCCATTTACTTACAGAAACATTACATGATGTTGACCTCTGGCCGGGATGAAGGACTGCAGATAAGCGGCGAATTAATCGGGGACAGTGTTTTAAGGGAACACGGTCAAATAGACTAGATGTAAAACGTGCTCAATTTTGACACAAATCAGAGATTCCTAATGGCTTATATACACATTGATAGGTCCGTACTGATTCCAACTCTGGTCACATGCGATACTAGATACGAAGTTGAAATGCTCCAGAACAATGCATCCGGCTAATCGCAGAGAAAGTGTTGAACCACAAGTATGTCCCAATATGTTGCCAGGTAAGATAAGAGAATCGACTCCAAAGATGGTAGTTGTGAGGCAGGCATCATGATTAGAAAAGCCATGCAAATGCTTCCCGCATGGGAAGAGTTCTACCAATGTCCTCTGCCGAATATTGACATCTAGCGTGCCTGTAAGCGACTATATTCGGCATAATCGGGAATAGGAAAATGGTCAGGGGCATTTGAGGACCTCGTACCTTGTCAAGCTTCAAAAAATCTTTGTAAAGCGCATCCTTGATACTGACAAGCAGCCGCGCAACTGCATTCACTGCTTCAGAGCAGAATAGTCTTCAAATCAAGACCGGTTGGGCGAGTTGAGGTAAACTTTCGATGCCATGCATTACTGCTTGGCGTAGAAGTAAACACCATCAAAGCGCTGCACGTCGGAGTTGAAGTATTTGCAACTGAGGAAACAAAGAGCGAAGTCGACGCCAGGCACCAACGAGGTTGACTTGGGAATAGTAGAGATGAAAGACGAAGGATGTGGTAACTGAAAGATGCTCAACGATCAAGACGAATGCGGTGGAATTTGTTTGGAAGATTCGCCCAGAAAGAGTGTCAGGGAGAAGTTGCCCCCCAGAAGTCACCCCCTATAGCCACTCCCCAAGCACCTGATGCCAAGTGCTGGCAGGAGGAGTGATTCACTGCTGAGGCAACAGGGCGCACAGACCCTAAGCATTTTCTATAAAGCCCTCTCCCCTTAGCCCAACTTTCAACTGTCTTTCTTTCTTTTCCTCTTTCCATACCACGGGGTCCTCCACTGGGGGCCTCAGTACTCTGAAGTTCAAGATCTTGGAGTACTAGTATGGGAAGATGGCCTGCATTGCACATCGCAGACTCTCTTCTATACTCTACTAGCCAACGGTACGAGGCACAATTTTTGATTTTCCTGAAACCACTCTTTTCTTTCATTGTGAGCACAGGCTTGACCTGGGTCACGAAGAAGGATGGTAGAGAAGAGGCAGCAGGCTGGCACGGGAAAATACGAGATGGAATTTTCGATCGTTTGTTTGTTTGGCAAAAGGTTGTTGCGTCTGGAAAGAAGGAGATGATCGAGAGAGGGGAAATGTAGAGCAACAGACATTCTTGAGGTTGGAAGCTGAGGTTCAATCTAGCAGATATTATCATGAGGCTTGATTGCCCAGCTGCGAATCTGCCAAGCATCGTGCAGCAACTTTCTTGGCGATCGTGATGTTTCAGTATCTCCAAGGCCGTCTCCCACCACGGCTGCTGAATCTCGTCCTCAGGACGATAGATTCTCCATATTGAATCTCCATCTCCATCCTCTCGCACATCTTCATGTCCTCGCCAGGCTGGCTCTCCTTGCATCTCCAGTTTTGATCATCGCTTATCAGAGGGACTGGCGATCTGACATCCGATCTGCAGCCCCCACCCAGCCAAGCTCGATTCGTTTCTTACTCTCCGACTGCAGCAACGACAACCGCTCCCTGAATCCCATCGCAAGACACACTGCAAAAACTCCTCTCCAGGCCTCAAAGACATTCACTCCATATTTTCCATCTAGACACCGATTACCGGCGATATTTGACGGATCAAGTTGCCGAATCTCTTATCTATCGCGATGCTCCTCACGCTAGCTTGGCTTCACCCTGGCCAAGTCTCCGCTTAGGCTGGGAGTCCTACCCCCATGGGGTTGCTACTGTAACGTTACGCTGTCAAAGAAGGACCGTTGAAGACGAGAGTGGAAGTACAGGCATCATGGCTTCCGTATTTATGGAATATCGCGTCCAGTCACGACCTCGATTGGGACGTGGCACGGAAGCATTGCCACTGCAGACATGAAGGTTCTCGTGGTGGTCGTGGGATTGGTTTCCCTAGGTAATGTCCCGACGATGAAGATGAAACAAGTTTCAATCAATTCTAACCAATTGGATAGCGCGCGCGCAGCTTTTGGGAATACCGACTGTGCCATTCAACATCACCTCGGATCGGACCTATGACTTGAGAAATGTCCATACCATTGTTGTCGACCTTGCACATTCGTCTACCCGCGATCAAGATGGCCTCACTTTGATTCCTCCCAGCCTGTGGGAGTTTGCGGAAACTTTCCAAGCTGATCTTGCTGGCATTGGTATCAACGCCATCTTGCTACCTGGACTTAAACCCATAAGCAATGCAATCTACCTCACTCTCGACAGTGACAAGTCGCAATTCATCAACGCCGCAGGGAACAAGACTTCAGAGGGCTACCGTCTCTCTGTTACTTCTTCAGGAGTTACTGTCAGCGGTGCTAGCCCACTTGGAGCATGGTGGGGAACACGAACAGTCTTGCAGCAGGCGTTGATCAACAACAAGAAGATGAAGCTCGGAACTGGTGTCGATTCTCCTGGATGGTCCGAGAGAGGAATGATGGTAAGCCACCCATACCACATAACTATATGGAATCTGGAAAACTGAACGGCTAATCGTCATTGTCACTCACTTCAGCTTGATGTTGGCCGTCATTATTATCCGACTGAATTTCTCGCGGAGATGTGCTCCTACCTCTCGTTCTTCAAGCAAAACGTTTTCCATCTCCACCTCAGCGACCACGTCTGGGATCCCGCCAAGCTTGGCTCCCATGAGCTCGCTCTCCAGCTCTATGCAGCCTTCCGAGTTGAATCCGCTGATCCAGCGGTTGCCGGCCTTGCGCGCCCAGTCAACGAAACCTATAGTCCATCCGCTTTCAACGATCTGCAGCAAAAGTGTGCGAGCCGAGGTGTGACCATCTTGCCTGAACTCGAGTCTCCGGGACATTCAATGGCGACGACAGACTGGAGGCCCGAGATTGCGCTCTCCGACTTTAGTATGCTTAACTTGAGTCATCCCGAGACGCTTCCCACAGTCAAGTCGTACTGGAAGGCGGTTATCAACAACTTCCACTCCAAGGTTGTGCACATTGGGGCAGACGAGTACGACAGCCACTTCATCAACGAGTACAGTACCTTTGTCAACGACATGAGTGCCTACATCCAATCCATATCTGGTAAGAGCACTCGCATCTGGGGCACTTTTCCGCCTTCTTCTGCTGCCGGCTCTATCAATGTCAACAAGGACGTCACAATTCAGCATTGGCAGATTGGCCAAGACAACGGCCTATTCGACTTTATCGACAAGGGTTACAACATCGTCAACAGTGACGACTACTTCTATCTCGATGTCAAGTACTCTGACGGCGACGTCTACCCCAAAGAGCTCGATATCCAGCGTGTCTTTCACGGGTCTCCTGACGGAAGTGCATTTGCACCCAACATCCTAGACAATGCCAACGCAACAAACAACCCCCCTCGAAGCAGCCCCAACGTGCTTGGGCACTTGGCTGTCGTATGGAATGACTGGGGCCCAAATGCCAGCACCTACCATGAGGCTTACTATATGGTCCGCAACGGTTTGCCAGCTTTGGCTGACAAGCAATGGGGTGGCTCTCTGCAGGAAAAAGACTATGCTAGTCTCTTTGCTACGCTGCAGCCAGCTGTGCCGGATCAGAATCTCGACCAGCGAATTGCCTCCAAGGGCCCGACTATTGTATCTTACAACTTCGGCCAAGGCACCCTCGCATCAGCAATTGCTGTTCTAGATGGCTCTGGAAACGGCTATCACGGCCATCTCGAAAACGGCGCCTATGTGAGCGGCGGTGCCCTCCAACTCAACGGACGCGGAGCCTATCTCAAGACCCCTCTGACGAGCAAAGGACGCAACTACACCCTTTCTTTCTCCGTGCTGCCCAAATCTCACGGCGGCGCGCTCTTCTCCGGCCCGGATAGCAGCTTCCTCAACGGCAATGGCACGTCGACGAATCTCATGCTCGTGTCTCACAATATTGCCTATCCTGTCAACTTGACCTTGCCGTTAAACAAATGGAGCGACGTGACGGTTCAGGCTATTGGACCGCAGACTTTTATCTCGGTGGGAAAACAGCGTCAGGAGGTGACTATCCTGATGGGTATATGGGGAGGATACATGCAGGAGGGACCGATGGCAATCGAGGCACCGATTCAGATAATCGGACAAGGAATTAATGGGCAGATGAAGAATATCAAGCTTTCCAGCGATGTATAAACCGACAGAACGTCGAAATTTGAATATCACTGTTATAATATTACCAACCTTTGCTCTGGTCAGATTGATGCGCCGAACCACCATTGTGGCCAATCGGTTTAGTGATTGCTCTTCACAGCCTGGACTGCCAGCAAGCAAATCTAGCATAGCGAATGTCAGTATACGTATACTGCTGATGTGTGAGTACTTTTAACAGACGGTTGCTTTGCTGATGATGATTCGCTAGAGATCACTCCTGAGGTAGAGAGAGAGAACGTCAGTATAGTGACTATATCTCACCACCAGCCGAAAGGTTGCTCACCGCCAGCTATACTATCAACCGGTTGATATTTGGAACGATGGTCAACGCAAACTGTTCGAGAATATTCAGGCAAGATTTCCGGCTGACTTTGGTGTACGAGACATGGAACAGGTGTTCAGCGCAGCCAGCGAGTGGTATCGTTCCCTACTCTTTCGCAAAGTCCATGAGAACGGCGCACGTCAGGCTGTGCTTCATCGACGTCCGGTGCTGGCAACCTTTTGTCTCTCAGAATCAGGTTGGGAGGAGTTTGGAAAGTAATTCAGCAACTCATCAATTCTTGGCTAGGATCCGGTACGCATTCTCATGTGCGCTCAGATGGCTCAACACCAGGCATCCGTACCAAACGGCGGCCATGCTGTTCATGACGGGTTGCAACCCTAGGTCACTCACTATTCTCAACTCTTGGGGCAGGAAATGGGACAACGACGGAAGCTTCAATGTTGAGAGTTATACAGCCTTGGAGCTAGACAAGTATCCCATGAAGTTTTACGATGTGTATCGGCTGGAGAGCAAGCTGACTTCTGCGGAGAAACAAGCCTAAATCTCCAAGGCGGAAGATGATTTGCGCAGTCGCTCTGAGGATTATCATAACATTCTTAGGTCACAACTATATTGTCCAACGTGTAATAGCACTGCACGGCTAGGAGACTTCAAGGGTATCAAAACGCCAAAGTCTCCGCGCTGCTACGAATCGTTTATCTTTGATACGACATCTTCGAAAGATGTGTCGAATGCCAGTAAACTAATGGGTTAGGATTTTCTGTCTATTCGGTGGTCTTGAAGATTCAAAACGACTAGATTAAAATTTATTGAATGGTTGACGACACTCTCTTGTTCTTTTCAACCATGCTCCACTTTCGCCACTTTCAACTCATGATCTACGTTTTAACGCAGAAGTTGTTTCCTTCAATTTCGAAAGAATGATATATCGATTCATCATATCCATGAAGATCATACAAACCACCAAGCCACCTATCCACCGCCAGTGGAGAACACATGATGCAATCCGCTGACAGCGTTTAATCTATGAGCTCATAGACACGCTTTGAACAATTATATATATGGTTGAACAGCAGTGATGAGAGGCATGCTCACTTCTCATTTACATCTCACTTTTTTTTTCAATCCTCCTGTACATAAAATATACTGGAAAGGAAAATAATTCACCATGTCTGAACATCCCGCGCATTACACTGGCGAATTCCACGCTCGCGTCCCCCCATCCGAGCCCATGATGAAAGGAGGAGTATGTCCATTCACACAATCACAGTCACAGTCACAGTCACAATCACAAACTCGCACATTAGCAAATACTCAGCTAACCAATTAATCTTGCAGCACCAACCCGGCATCAAAGTCGGCAACGACCGCCTACCAGAATCCCACCTCGAAACATTCCCTCCTGGAACCGCTCCCCCCGAATCATCCTTCCGACCAAATCCCACATCAGAAATCCCAGGCCAGGCCAACAACCCCGAAATCGACTCCCTTAGCCGGACAGACCCCCTCGACTTCCCCGGCGCCACATCAAAGGACGTAAGCCACAGCTTCGGCCGACCCTTGCAAGGCCTCGAAGGCCGGGAAGTCGCCTCACAGCTGCCGGGCAAGAAACACACCGGCACAAGAACGCAGCATCCCCATGGCCAAAAGGAAGCGGGCGCGGGACTGGGAGCCATTGCGGCAAATGTCAACAAGACGGATCCCGTGAGAGAGCATGGGTGGGATTTGCCAGAGGGCGTGGAGAAGGGCGCGAGGGGCAAGGGGAGTGAGAATTGGCCTGGGGCGGAGGATGTAGAGCCCGTGAAGGCGGATGAGATTGCTTCGGAGAGGGCTTGAGAATTGGATGTTGAGTGAGATGTCGATTTGGAGTTTGTGAGAGCTTGTTGATTGAGATTGTGTTTTGTACTCCCTCAGTTGGATCCTACATGAACACTAGACAAAATTTCACCCAGCTACAAGTACAAACAAAGGAATATTATAAAAGCATTCAAAAATGTAAGCTGCGGCTATCGCGAACCACAACATGAACCCATTAGCCCCCAGTATCATTTAGATGAAATCTATAAATACACTGCATATCCACGTCTCACATACATTAACAACATACCACTTTGAAAAGCATATTTACACACACTCACACATAGCCAAAATCAATGCATTGAACAAAAAAGCAAGCATGTTCCAAACATCCGTTTCCCAAATACTTTACCGTGAATGCTTCCATCTCAACCCCTCTTTTGTAGCCCAGCCACCCAGTCCCGTATCTGCCCACCGCTTCTAATGCCGACGCTTTAATTAATCCCACAGGATTCTGTTTCACAGTCATGTCGCTTACCATGGGTATAGAGTCGCATTGCGACTTGGCAGGGAACACGGGTTGAGTAGTATTCCGCCCGTTGTCTGTGTAGGACTCGTTACTAGAGCGATGCTCATAAACCGAAGACATACATGAGTACATAGCGTGAACTTGGTTCGCGGTGGTTTCATGAGCATGAACGAAGTAGTGTTTCCATACGTAAATTGATGAGCGCGCAAAGTAAATTAAAAAGAGAGTAAGAAGAAAAAAAAAAGGAAAAAAAAAAAAGCAATCTCGATAGTAATAACGTCAAGTACCTCGCAAGCCAAATGAAAAGAAAGTCCAAAATACCAGAAATATATCCTTCCTACGCCCATTCCGTCGCATCGCTTTCTTTTAATCCTGTCCATAGCCAACAAGTAAACAGGCTGGCCAAATCTTTTGTCAAAAATCCGCTCGCGTAATATCCAATGTGAGCCGCCTGCCAAATGCTCTCAAATCAATAATCCTTTTGCTTTCCCAATTCCTATATCCCAATCCAAAACGACATCTTGCCAGATGTAAACTGCGTATGCATGCCGACTGGCGACGGTTGTCCATATTTGAACATTTGGAGAATTAGGTGAAATCATATGTCACCAGGCTCTCCCGGCCATCTGCTGTCTCTCTCAGGACAGTGACCCTCTGGTCATCAGTCCCAACCCAGTTTCGCCTATGCTCTGCCTCGTCCGAGGAATCCTCCTCGTCATCGGCATCATCAGAGTCTCTGCCCTGCCTAGGCCTCACTTCGACGCTCACGTCGTTCTGGCGCCCCTCGAGATCCCAGACTCGAATCTCGTCACCTCGCTGGCTGACACTAACAGCTCTGCCTTCTGGGGTGACGTCGGCATCGGCGATGCCCGAGGTGTGGCCATAGAGCCTTGTGGCGTTGGAAATGGCAAAGGACTTTTCCGTTGCAGTAACAACAAAGAGCACGAGGGTGTTGTCCTGCATAGTCGCGAGCAGGTAGGGATGGCTGTAGCAGAGCTTGGTCGGCCCGCCCTCGTCATCATCCATGTACAAGTCGGGGAAGTTGGAGCACGTAGGGCACTTTGGCCGGTACGAGGCGGTGGTGACCAATGCGCCCGTCTCGGCGGGCATGGTGTAGGCAACGCGAGACGTGATGACGTCGGGCTTGGAGCTGCCCGATGGCCGAATGTCAAAGTTTTGAATGCCAATGGCCCAGCCGCCGACGGTGTCAAACGAGTAGGCAATGGACGCGACCGCCGAGTTCTTGAGCTGGCGGAGAGACAAGACAAGCGGCTGGCGCGAGTAGTCGGACTTGAGCGACGACAACACAAAGGGGTTGGAGAGATCTGCGCTCTTGTCCACCTGGCTACCCACTTGCAGCGTAGACAATTCATCGTCGCTGAGATATCCCGTGTCACCATCGTGAAGACTCGGCCCAGCAGCAGACGTCTGCTCCGGCTCTGGGGCGGGAGTCTCAAACGTGTACAGCGAGATGAAGCCCAGCTCGGCAGCCGTCAGGGCATAAGGGTATGAGTAAGCGACCGACGTGAGTCTGCCCACGTAGCTCTTGTCCTGGCGATACAAGACGGCCAACCGGCCTTCATTGACCGTCAAGCGCCAGATGCCAAAGGTGCCATCGTTGAAGCCGAGCATGATGTCCAAGGTGCCGGCCTCAAGCCGCTGGCCATCCAAAGCCAGCGCCGTGGGCACGAGATGGATGCCGTCATGGGTTTCGGTGGTTGTCTGCGCAATGGAGTGCTGCGTGCGCAAGTCCCAGGCTCGAAGCCCAGCTTGCAGGTCGACGGTGACAGCGAGGCCATCGACAACCTTGACCAAAGTGCGGCGCTCCAGGATGGGAGTGAGGGAAAAGTTGGGGTTGACCTGGACCTGGCGCACCTCGCAGAGGCCGCGGGCCCAGTTATGTCGCAGGCGATACTGCTGCTTCCAGTCGACAAGGTCCTTTGGATGGCTCGACTTATCGGCCGGGTCAACGGGCTTGAACGGCGGCTTGACGGGCTCAGCTGGCTCAGCATCAACGGCCGTGGGGGCCATGGAGCCGGGGTTGGCGCTGGAGCTGGAGCTGGAGCTGCTGCCGCGGTCGGCGTTGGCCCCGGCAGGTGTTTGTGACTGACCCTGATCTTGGCCTGGAGAGGCCGCAGATGCCGGTTTCTTGACCTTGAGGCCGGGGATGCGGTTGGCGCGCGGCAGGATGAATCTGCGGTAGTAGTGGCCGCGCCACAGCTGGGGATCCGAGGCGACTCTGTAGAACTGGCGCGACACGGGCGCGGCGGCCAGCAGCGTCTTCTCGTCGACGTACGAGAAGATTCGCAGCAGCAGTTCGTCCGACACATCACGGGTCACGTCGTACGAGGGCGTCTTGAGCTCCACGTCGACGGGTTTGGTGAGACGCAGCCGCTTGGCCGAGGCGTCGTTGCGATGGAGTGTGGCAGAACCGTCTGGCCGGCGGCTGTTGCCATGGTCGCTGTGCGATGCCTTTCTCTTGTTGCTTCTGATGGCCATCATCTTTGCGTGTAATTGATTGATGCGATATCAATGATGTGTGTTTGTGTGTTTGTGGTGTGAGTTGCTGGTATAAGCAGCAGCGCCTGCCTATCCAACGAGGAGAGATGGAGGAGCACGAGGCAGAGAAGCAGCAGCAGTGACGATGTTTGTAAAATCAAAGCCGGGTAAATGGCTGTCAGCGGCAGTATCGCTTCTCCCCGGGCTTCAATCTCGGGAGGGTTCTGCCCTCTTGTCCAGCGATTTGCGGCGTCGTCACAGCATGCAGAATGCAGGACGCAGTGGAGCAGTGCAGAAAAGGGTGATGATGCAAGTAATATGTGAGGGAGACGGGCGAGGGATTCGAAATCAAACGGTTGGCAAGGGAGGGAGAGACAAGGAGAAGAGACAAGGAGAAGAGACAAGGAGAGGAGATGGGGGAGTTTGGTGGAGATGCCGGTGGCACGCACGTGGGATGTGGTGTTTGGGAGGAAGGTTTTGAATTTGACGGATGAACGGGGGAGAGACGGGTAGATATCAAGCAAGCAAACTGTCAAGTGTCAATGAATGGATTGATGATATGTGATGGATCATTGATAGATTGATGGGGATGGAGCGAACCTGTGAAGTGACAATAGCCCAGTCGAGCTAGAGGGGTTGAGCTAGCTGGAGAGGAGTTGAGTGTGCTGGAGCTGGACGGATAGCGCTGAGAGGTGCTACTGAGAGGTGCTGCAAATGCCCCCGAAGCCCGAAGCTGCCCTGCTGAGTCCAGAGCTTGGAGCTCCCCCGTCACGCAGGTCCCGGGTCCCTGTCGGTCTTATATAGTGGCCCCCCAGGACGCTCCTCCAGTGCTACCGTAGCGTTCTGCGCCTGTTCGCGGCCTTGACGCGTCCTGGTCTGGTCTTGGGCTCCCCTTCTTTTCCCTTTTTTCCCTTTTTTTTGGCCTGCATGTGCATGTGTATGTGCATGATGTGTGTATGTGCATGTATCAATTTCTTCCCAACAGAACATACTAAATCCAAGGTCAATGTACCTAACATTAACATACATGCAACTTGCTCCCAGTCCGTAGGCCTTGTCCCAGCACCCGTCCAGCCGCCGGCCAATCACTGCGCTACGGCACCTTCAGCCACTAATAGGCACCCAGGCTAGAAGCTTAGCACTCCCTAGTCGCTGCAGTTGATGCCTTGCCGCCTCCCAGCAGCTCCATCTGCTCCCCCACCCCCCTAGCATCCAAAGCACATGTACCTCCAGTATGGCGCCCTCTGCAAAGCAGTACATGTACCCACTAGCGCCATCAGCCCCCCTCCAGCAGAAACACCAAGATAAACTACCGCGATTTTCTTTCTTTTCTTTTTCCTGCTTCCTAAATTCGCCTCCGGCCTCGTAATTCACGCCCAGCTTCCAAGCGCCGGCAATTTTGTCAGGCGTTCTCGCCCTTGGTACTCCAGCTCGTAGCTCAGCCGTGGCTTTTTGGCCGCTGCCCTCCCTGCGACGAGTCACTTCTGAAAAGAGTCACCTGCAGGTACGCTTGTATCAGCCGCGGATGGAAGAACCAATAGATCACCACAGCCCGAGCGGTGATCCAAGGTGTAAAATGCATGCGAAACGCAGGTTAAAAAAAAAAGCAATGCAAGGAAAAGTGGAAGAGAGCCCTCCAGCATACCGCCTTTGTTTAATATATGCAAGCCGCAAAACAACTCATCAACCCCCCCTCCTTAGTAGTCTCGGACCTTGTTCTGTTCGCTGGGGTGTTTGAGGTTCAGCTCTGCTTAACTACATGTATTTTTATCATTTTTCTATCATCATGTTGAGTCTCTCAGTAGATCCAAGGACTCCCGTTCTTCCCCTCATTCTCCCGCATATTCGCATCTCTCGCATGCCAATCCGGTTCCCCTCCCATCTCCCCCTTCCCCCCCTCTCCTCATTGGGCTCCTTTTACGTCCCATCCGTCTCGTCTTTATCCTCAGACACGGCAAAAACCAAAAACTTGGAGTGAGAGAAAAAAAAAGTTCTGGCCGCTTATTACACTCGGATGCTCCATTGATCTCCGGATAATCTTCTCTTTCTCCTAGCGTAGATCATCTGCACAATCCCGTGGCTCTCGTGCCTGTGGTTCATAACTTGAATATTCCATGCTCATGCTCAGGTTGAGGTTGTGCTGTGCTTGTATGCTCGTAAATTCGTGTATATTTCATCATAACCCGTCGTCATTCCAGTCAGGATCAAACCCCACTCAAGCCGCTGTCACAACCTCGATCGTCACAACTGGACTTTGGCAAAGAGATCGTCGTATAGCTTTCCAACCCATCCATCCGATGGCCCAGCTTTCGCAACAACCCCCAGTCCTCCGACCGCCCACAATGCGGCTGCTGCCACTACTGCGGCCTGAACTCCCAACCACCGCCGTCTGCGCTGCCGCTTGGTCTTCTTATCAACCGTGACTGCCTCGCTTCCCCACCAGCCCTTTGTTGACGGCGCAATCCCGAACCACTTGGCCAGTCCCCAGACCATATGGCTGCATCCGATGCCAATCAGGCCCCTGTAGGCAAAGGCCGCAATCATAGGGTGCCTCGCGAAGCCGTGAGAGATGTAGGCCAGACCAATGTTGGAGCTGTCGCCCTCCACCGCTAGTGGCAAGACTCGGTTCATCACGACATGGGCCCCCCAGAAAGCACTGAAGACGTATCCAGACCAAGATATCCAGCTGAGCGGCGGCCAGAGCTGAACCGACGACCGAGACGAAGCTGTGGATGAACGCATCAAGGCATACATGCCGGGCGTTGACCCGCCATATCTCCTAATGTTCTCGGACCTCCTCAGAAGACGCAGTGCAATGCCAGAGCCGATATGCATCAGGACCGGCAGGCCAACCAACAACGGCTCCGTAATGGGTGTCTGGTAGAGTTCTCGGGCCATAAGCAGGTAAGTCTCCGAGCCAGCCACGCTTCGTGTGACGGCGGGAATGAGGGACACATTGGCAAGGTGCATGGTGGTGAACACCGACACGGCATAGCTAGAATACCTTTGCATCCGAGTCACTATATTCAAAAAGACCAGACGTCAGTCACAACCGGCCAGCATAAAAAGGACCACACACACTCGCCCTCGCCCGGACAGGGTTACAATGCAGCTGAAACTGGATAAAAGCACGGGGAAACTGGAATGGAATAACCCAAGATAAAAATAAATCAACGGCGGCACTCCCGCCAGGGATAACCCAGGGACGACAGAAAAAGGAAAAAAGAAACGAACGGTAATAGATGGCGCCTCGGCCACTGCCACTCAACCCCGGCGCCATGGTTGAGCCAGTCTTGATACTGCCCGCACTGCCTTCCATGGTGCCATCTGCAGCCAAGAAGTCGATTGGCTTCTTCTCTTCTGTCGGTGTGTCCGGGTCTGAGTCCATGGGCGCAGGATCCAGCTGGAGGAGAGAAATGGCCGTCAGTGTCGAGTTCCTCCGCTCTCGCCAGCCTCGCGGGCTCTCAGCGTCTGAATCGCTGTCCATGGCGATTGCCAAGGATTTCCTTTCTTATTCCGTTTCTTCCTTGCCTTTTTTTCCGGATGCAAAGAAGAGCTTTCTTTATTTTTTGAATTTTTTTCCCTTCGGTCCTTGGGTATCAACAGATTCCGAAGTAAAGACGAAAATAACCGAGTGAGACCTGCATGTCCGTACGAGTATCAAACCATTTGAGTGCTTGGGTACGTTGGGGGAAAAAAAAAGAAAAGAGAAGGCTACCAATAGCAAAAGACCACACGACCGTGGAGGGGGGGCCTCTATGCCTAATCGAGAAATAGATTGCCCACATCCGCCGGTATAAACGACGAGACAACAACGACACAACTTTTTATGCAAAAAAGAAGACAAAAGAAGACGCCCGTCCACTCATATGTCTCAAATTGTTTTCTCTTTTTTCCATTTCCCTTCTTGGAAGTCGATGCAGGCCACCAATCACGAGCGTGGCGGCTTCGATTGGACCGCGTGTGTTCCGCAATGATACCTTGGCCAGGACAACTGTCTCAGACACCTTATTCGAGACTCTCTGCTCGCCCACCCCCAACCAGGATGTCTTACCCGTTTGGCTCTAGCAGCGTCTTTCGTACAGGACATTTTCATCTATTCCGCATTACATATGTGCTTCATACATGTGCTTGATGTATGTACACGTAGGTGCTAAATTATGGAGTCTCCCCATGCAAGCCACATGCCCTAGGCCAAGACGATTTTACGAGACATCCTATCGCCTTTCTCTCCCTTACATGAGCCACCAGAGTAGCGAGATGAATTGGGTGATTTATCATTGATGATGAATTTCACTAACAGGTCAAGCTGAAAAGATTTATTGTTGACCAGTTTTGCTATCAAAGTATGCCTTGGGTGCCTTGGGTGTCTTGAATTAGACCTGCCTAGCTGAAGTGACGAAGCGACAGCTCCAAGGGAGCCTCCCACTATTGAAGCAGGCCACTAGTAGCGCTGTCCATTAGTAAAGTGCCGATACCTTTTAGTGAGGTGTTAATGTTATCAACTATGAGATAGGTAGCAGGTACGGTACATCTAGATACTTTACTTATCAGACACTTCAAAACGCCATTGTGCTGTCGCCAAAAAAAATATTCTTGTCTTGAGCAGGTATGGGACAGAGTAGGTGGACTAAAGTCTGCCCGCAACCCAAAAATCAAAACCTCCAAAATTTGTATGGGGGCGATGTCCCCCATTAACCTCCCAAAAAAATCAATTGAATCACCTAAATTCTTTTGAACGCTAAATAGATCCATTATTCTAACTTATTAGAAAAAATTTATTTCTGATTATTCATGTAGATTTATTTATTTATGAATTTTTAAAGTGCACGAGTTTTGATCGCAGACTTCAAAGCTACTCCGCAATTGCAAATCCAGGTCCGGGATTGGACACCCGCCTATCATCTGCCCCACCATAGCTGGCTCGGGCTTTTTCCTCCGAACCTCCGACTGCCTTCAATCCAAAGGCTGGCGCATCATCGTGTATCGTTATCGCGAGCTTCACGCCAGAGCATCGCAAAGCTCCAGCACATCTACAACACGATTCGATACTGCTCTGTCCTGCGATTGCATCCTCGAGCTGGACATTCAAGATGCCTCCGGTAAGCGCCGCGCCTCCCCTTCCTCCTCAAACAACCAGCATCGCCAACTAACGCGTCCGTCATCGCCAGAGACACCAAACCCTCCCTCCCGCGCAAACCAGCTCGGCAAAAGAGGCCCAGAAATCCTTCTACTGCACCCTCTGCTCCAAGGGCTACTCCCGCATGAACGACTATGAGGCCCATCTCAGCAGCTATGATCACAGCCACAAGCAGCGCCTCAAGGACATGAAGGCCATGGTGCGCGACCCCAACGCGGGCGCAAAGGCGAGGAAGGCCGAGGCCAAGGCAGACGGCATGGTCAGCATCAAGTTGAACGACCAAGATGCGCCCTCCTCTGGCGGCGGCGGTGGTGGTGGAGGCTTCAAGAAGGGCGGCTTCAAAAAGACTGGCTTTAAGAGTGCCTTTGCTCCGGTAGAAGCGTCCGCATCGACTACAGCCGCTTCGCAACCACCGACAGATGCGTCCCGTAAACTAGCGAATAAGGCTCGCGCGCTTATGGATGCGGAAAAGCCGGCCCTCTACAAAGGCTCTCTCGTGGAGAGCGATACGGAAGATGAAGGATACGAGGTCTACGACCCCAGGTTTCCCACTGATTGACTCGCCCAAGGCACATGGCTGTGCGTTGCATCGATGGTTAGATGCCATCGTCTATTCCCGGGTATATTACTATTATCATGATGGTGATTACAAATGCCGTCTCGTGTCCTGCAGCCCATGGCCAGAACCCTACATATCGGACTGCATCCACTTGTGCGAGTCTATCTGCGACAAGTCCTCCTCCAAGAGACTAATCATGTTCCGGCTGCCGAAAAACCAATCCGCAAGCTGTGCCACCTGGCCGTTACCCTGAACCGGTACCGCCGGGTCACTGGTGTTCGTGTTGGCCATTGGTTGATCCTCATTGGGGATGAAGCCCAGCTGGCTCAAGTACATCTCAAACTCGTCCCCGATGGAGTTTTCATCTTGCTGCTGCTGGGCTTTGGCTTCAACGTAGAGCGTGGCAATATCGCACATGACCCGGCAGAGTCGATACAACTTGTCAATCGGCTCCGAAAGCCCTCTTGCACCCTCGAGGGAATCCACAAAGTCCTGGAGAACCTTGAGGTCTGTAAATGAAGATGTCTCAATGACGTAGCAGAACAGGACAAAGAATGGGGCAAATGGTGTCAACAAAAGATTCCTGAAAAAAAGGAGACAAAATGTTGATTAGCAGTTGGTTTCGATGGAAAAGGGAATAACGGGGTCACAAAGTTGCTGTCTTCCTTACCAATGAATGTACATGGACCGCATGTACGTGCTAATGTCCATGAATCGAACACACTCCTGATGCGTCTTCATGGCATGACGAGCTGCATCCAAGCATTCGTCGCAAAATCGGGTAATGGAGCCTTCTGGTGCCGGTATGACGCGGTAGATGAGCGTCTTGGTCACGTAGAACTGGACCTCGTCGCCCTTGATAAAGACGTCGACGACGTCCGAGGTTCCTATCGATTTAAGCAACGTGTATACCTTTTCACGCGTCTCGTCCGTCTCAATCTCTAGCCGACTGCATTCCGTAGCCAGGGCTTTGGCTCGTTGGACCAGGTCGGCCTGAGGGCTTGCCAGAGCGACTGGACTATATCTGCGAGGTACGAGAAGTCGTTAGTTACTAGGTTCTATCAAACAAAGAAAAGACAGCGAAGAAGACCAAAGCAGGCTGCCAAGAGGTTCGTTTATGAGGAGAATTCCTCACAGTTGTTCGTAGATCCGGCTCTGCAAGCTGCTGATCTCGACCCACAACGTCGGGAACGTGGTAGATGTAAGATGATCGAAACCGTTGACTTCAAATTCGCGCTTGATATCAATGTCGCATTCCGCTATGACCGAGGCCCGTCCTAGTCTGAGGCCCAAGCCCTTGTCCAAAGTATACACATGCCAGAAGATGACCTTCTTTTGCTGTGCAACCAAGGGAGGGTCGTTCCTTAGAGACTCCAGACGATGGTAGCCACCCGCTTGACACAGCCAGGCGGCCATTGTAATGAGATGCCATGCCACCGAAGGTCTAGAGACGTCAATCGCATAGAGGCACTTGGTCAATCAATCAAGCAACATCAGTAATCGTACTTATCAACATCTGAGACAGAGGAAAATCAAAGCAAAACTCACCCCAAGCAGAAGAGCCTGCACATTCTCAATCTTTGGCGACAGGAACAATGGAAAGTTGGCCAGCGTCGTCTCGAGATTCGACTTGCAGATGGCCACGTACGAGTTGTACTCTTCGCGCAGCGCCCCCTCCTTGGCCAGTGAATGCTGCTCGACAAAGAGGTTGTACAGCATGGCGTTGACCACGGCAAAGGTGGCGTCGGAGAAGTCTTCGGTGGGGAAGTAGACGGTCTTGCACAGTTCTGCAAACTCCTTGATGCCGACGAGGGTGCACAGGATGGTGAAGAAGGTGGGAGGCGCGGCTGGTTTGAGGATTATCCTGAGTCAGATTCTCATTCTTCCTTTGAGCTGGACTTGCGACCCTTTCTCGTACCTTTGACGTGCTTTAGCAGAGAGACTACGGTTGCCAGCGGAGGCATCGGCAGCTTGCTCACACCCCCCGGCGGCACGGGCTGCTGCAGAGGGAATCGTGGCCCATGGCTTATCGAGCGATGCTTTTGCATCTCGACAAGTTGGCTAAGATTAGCAAGAGCCGTCTCCATCTTGGGATTAAGAGCCTGCAGCGGCGCTCTCTTGACGGCGCGCTCGAGGAACTCGCTCGCAAAGGTGGTGTGCACGGTCAGTCCCGAGTCGCCGCCGAGAGCAGACTCTTCGTCGGAGCTGTCATAGTCGGCGTTTGACGCGGCGGTTGGAATGGTGATGTCTGTCTGCGGCGTGTGGATGAACTTGGAGGCGTCTGTATGGGTGGAGGAGGAAATGTTTTTGAGGAGAGCCTCGATGTTGCCGAGGCGGGCTTCGATCTGGTCAATCTTTCTCTCGCTTGGTGACGGTTAGCTCTGTGGATTTCATATGAAGACAGGTAGAACCGATGATGAGATGGGATGAGATGAGCAGATGAGCAACGCTCATGCATCATAGGAGACTCACTATTGGGACGAGATGAGGACTCGCTGCCGAGGCTCCTTTGGCCGCTGTCCAGCACCAGTCGATGTGCAACTCCGCTTTGCGGTTCTGCAGTTGGAACACGGCCAATCCTTATCACAGCGAATCTTTATATTGCCCAGAAAACAAGCCATTAGCTCGAATTGATGAATGGAACTTTGCATCACGAGAGGGGTACTCATTCAGCCCCGTCACTCACCTTTCGCAGACGACACTGATCACACTATCATGGATGCGGAAAAGGCCATCGTCAGTATTCAATCACTCCCATCACCCCATCCAGCAGCCGCCATCATCGCGGCTAGACATGCGAATCCAGCCAGATCCACAGGCGACGAGCAGATATCGGCACTTACAGCTCTCCGGGCGGTTGGATCGTCGGCGGCCGCGGACGGCGCGAGGTTCTGCATTGTTGTATCGGGCGATTTGACTGTGAACTAAATGCCGACGGCGAAAAGAGGATGATGGAGGATGCAGATTATATAATGAAGCTGTACGATGCTCCAATTTGCAATAAATCCGATGTGAGATCCGGCTTCTTCGCGATTTCTTACTGAACACTTGGTTTGATTCTTTCTCATGCGAGAGTGAGAAGGATGAAAAGAAAAGAGGTAAGGCGGGTTCTATAGCAGCATCCTTTACCAGGTTCATGTATGCAGTACTTCCATGTACTTTGCCGGCGGCTTTAGTGGCTGTACCCTACAAGAGCCATCAAAGTCCTCATGCTAGCCTGGCTAAGTAGTACTGGACGCGCAATTCTTTATTTTCAAAACGAATATATCTTTAGTATATCTTGTTACGTGGATTAGTTGAGACACCAGGAGTAATGAATGAGTCGCCGCTGCAGCCAGGCTGATGGATGCTGTGGAAAGCAGCATGTACCCCTGCATACTTCCTGTGAGGCGAGGTACTTGTGAGAGCGCAGGTACGAGGCTGTGGGTGATGCGGAGTCCGCGGGTACCGAAGATGCGATGGCTGCGGCGACTTATTACGTATCCAAGCAATAGAAGATAAATTGAAGGATATAATGAAAAGAAGAAGCTTCTCCTTACTGTTGATAATTATAAATCCCAGATATCATTGGTGGCTCTTTTTTTTGGGGGGCAAATGAATCGTTTACTTGTGTACAGAGAGATATGCTACAGTTATGGGTCAAAAGTCTGCGACCGGTACATATGCTGAATGCCACCAAAATTTACAGCATTTATAAATATATAATTAATTCTACAAAATTTTATCGCCATTATTAATCGCGAAGTCTAGAGATAAATAACAGATATTTTTCTTATTTTCCTTCAATTTACTAAAGACTGTTAAGGATCGAAACTGAAATCGGTTTCATGTTCGCAGACTTTTAGGCCCTAACTGCCCGTAGTTCAATGAAAGGCTACATATCCTGTCCAGAAATGAATCATATATGATCCGTCGAACTGAATTCTTCTTATCGGCTAGTAAAAGGTAGATCAACGACATTTGACATCAAATCCAGGTCTTTCAAGAGAACTTGACGAAGAATAGTCTCTATATCAGCATCCCTCCCGTCATTGACATAACATCAATTCCAGCGAATCTCCCCAGCCGAACAAACTTCCATGTTCTCATATACAGCCATTTTCCGCAAATGATGCCTCACAATATGAGCTCGCTGCCGTGGTTCAAGATAATCGTCTCTCCTCTGGGCAAGCTGATGTCATGATAAAATGAGCGAGCTCAGTCCAGCCGCGATAGCAGTGGCTACGGAGCCTCCCAATACATGTTCGCTGGATTTGAGAAATGGGACGATTCCCACTGCCACTTTCTGGCCGTCAATTGCATATTCATAGTTCTAGTGCCTATTTCTAGGCGCCACTGTGCCAAAATCGTCGCAGGTTGTGGTGGTGATTGTGTCAGCAAAGTCTGATGGATATGCATACATCAAGTCTCATGGGCACTGCAGAGCATGACAATGCCGTAGTCAGCTGCTCGACGACAAGCGTCCTCGAGCTCTTCTTTTGTGTGGCGAAAGGCGAAACTCATCGAGATAATGTCCACACCCTCCGACATTGCCCACCGTATTGCCTAGTGTACAAGTTACGGCATCCAATTGTTGCCGCGTATTTTGGAGATCCCATGAAGTGTCAGTATTGAACGAAATGTCAAGCACCCCGTTGTCGATGATACCTATCCTGGTTGGTCGGTATTCGTAAAGCTCATATCTCAAGCCTTGTACCAGATCGCAGTATCCATTCGTAAATTGCTGCAGCTGGGAACCACTCTCCTGGATCTAAGTGTGATAAACTTAGTTGGTTCATATTCGTTCCTGGCTCGACAATGGCTGTCAACTTGCATATGAACACACATATATGGATCTAGGACCTATCTTACATGTCAGCTCATTTGTGGTCTCCGCTATCCTTGCTCTACCAGCTTCATAGCAGCCCAATCAGAAATACCTTAAAGGTAGCAACATCATGGGGAATCTGCGAGAGCCTGGCCCGGCACGAATTTGGTTGCAGAGAACAACTCACACAGTCGAGGTGAATGACAGTCAAAGAGAATGCTAATATATTAAGCTACCTAGTATAAGGTGGCAGGTGGGAATGACCAATGTGTCGTAGACGTATCAAGTGCTCGCTTGATCCTCCACGCTTTTCTTTTATATCTCGGCCGGTTATTGAAACGGGTTTGGGATGCCCACCAACTCGAAGCAGTCTGACTTGTTTCGCAGTTTCCCCAAGTTCTTCAAGTCAATATCTCCGATGATTTTCCCCCCCTCAGAATTGCACACAATACCCTCGCCTGGTGTTATCTTGAAAGGCTCGGCCTTTGGCCGATTCAGCCCTAAAAACTGCACCACGCCGTTCTCGTCTCTAAGTTCAACCCGTGCCTCGATTTGGAAATTAACGAGGTAAGGCTTTGATGAAGTTCGGGAGATAAGCACTGCCGCCCAGAAGTTTTGCGTTTCGTCAACTATCCCCAACTCATTATCCTGAATAGCCCATGTAACTCCATGCATTTTTCTAGTTTCGGGGATGAGACCAGAGATTGCGGTTCCTTTTTTCTTTCCCCCCGCAGATTGAACCGACGTCCAGGCTTTCAATTCTGGGTCATTTAGGCCCTGGTGCTGCTCATCATCCGTAGCTTCGAGCTTCAGAGAAGCATTCATGAAGGTAAATTCGACGTCTTTATTTTGAGACGTAAGCTCAAATTTCAGGATAGCCAGAGTCATTGGTGGATCTGACGTGTTGCTCTGATCCGCTGAAGGAGAACCTTCAACGCCGTCCGCCCAGAGAAGCGTCTCGACGTTCACGGAAAACCCAGGTCGGTTGTTCTTATAGGAAATGGCTTTATGATTTTGCCCATTGTCGGAATTCGCAGAGGCAGACATCTTGAATGTTTATGTGAAGTATCGGCTCCGGTGTTTAAAAGACAACGAAAGAGTAAAGATTTGCGCAAACGGACTGGTGCTGGGAATGAGTGAATGCATCCTCTGAGCGAGGCAAGACCAGGTATATATAGCCATAACTGGTGGCAAGGCAGCATGCGTGGATATGGCCACAAGATGTTACACATGATGGATATTTCTTTATTATCAAATCCAATCAATCTGCAAAACAAAGGAACTTGATGTAAACTCTTGACCCAAGGCTTGGGTGTCGTCTTTCATTGAAGCAGATGTCACAGCTTGTTGACTAAAACATGCTCTTTGAGATAAACTTCTTTGTATTGTCTTAACCATGTCAATTGTTTAATTTAAAATTATCACCACTTTCTTCAAAGGGCTTTGGACCTTTGTAATACAGCATATCACCAACATGTGATCATTTATTTAAAATTATCACGAGTTCCTTCAAAGGACTTTGCATCTTGTGCGATACAGCGTATCACCAACGTGTGATCATTAATTTCAAATCGTCAAGAGTCTCTTCAAAGGGCTTTGAATCTTTGCAATACAGCATATCACATCACCAACCATGTGACCATTCATTTTTAAATTGTCAGCACTTTCTTCAAAGAACTTTGAACTTTGTGCAATACAATACATCACAAAGAGGCAACAGCATCTAGACAGGACGGATTTACATCATGGCTTTTACACAGTTTCAAGCAGAGAGATAGTAGATACCCATCAAGGTCCATTCTATTCATCATCGTCGTGACCGTCTAATTTTTAATTCTAAACCCCCTAATTCCATCCCATCCCCAACCCACTTACACCAGCGTCTTGGCCTCTCCATCCTTCAGCTTGCCAGCATCAACAAGCCTCTTGACCTCGGCGCTCCAAACTCCTTTGATCTCGCCCGCAACAGTAAGGCCGTTGAGCTTGCCAGCAAGAGCAGCAATCTCATCGGCATCAATCTTGCCCTGCACCAGCTCGACATCGCCCAAAACGGCGTCGATCTGGGCGGCAGAGGCATCACCAGAGGCAAAGTAGTTGGCGTCCTTGACGGAGCCCTTGAGCACACGCTTGTTCTTCTTGACAGCGTTCTTGGCAGCCTCCTTGGCCTTCTTGCCGGCCTCGCGGTCAGCCTTTGCGGCGGCTTCGGCGTCAGCCTTGGCCTTCTCCTCAGCCTCCTTCTTGGCCTTGGCCTCCTCGGCAGCCTTCTTCTCGGCAGCCTCCTTCTCGAACTTCTTCTTGTTCTTGGCGGCGTTGGCCTCCTGTCGGAAGCGCTTGATACGCTCATCGCCAGCGGAAGCGTCATCTAGCAGCTTACGCAGACGGGCGTTGTCCTCGGCCTTCTTCTTCTTGCGAGAGTTCTGGTTCTTGCGCTCGACGTGACGCTTGTGGTCACGGCTCTCGCCATCATCGGGAACATCCTCGTCGAGGTACTCGAAGCTCCTCCAGCTGTCAAAGTTGTACCAGAAGTTGTAAAAGTCGTCGACGTGCTCCTTGGTGGAGTTGGCATCGCCAAAGGTGGGAACAGGGTGTGTCTTGGAGAAACGAGCCTCGGACTTGAAGACCTTGCTCCAGAGCTTGTAAAAGTCGCCCTTTTGCAGCTGCTTCTTGTTGGGGGGCTCGACGTCGGCCTCCTCGTCGACGGAGTCGAACTGGCGGCGTCTGGTGGGGTCGAGCAGAATGTCGGTGGCCTTCTGGATACACTTGAAGAACTGGTCGTCCTCGGCGCGGCCCAGGGCAGCCTTCTTATCGGGGTGGTGCTTAAGGACCTTCTTGCGGTGGGCCTTCTTAATCTGCTCCTCGGTGGCCTTGTAGCGGTACTTGGACAGGCCGAGAACCTTGTAGTGATCCTGGGTCTGTTGTCTTTGTTAGCATTGAATGAATTGAACAGACGTTCTCTCATCATCCCCGCCATGTTTCCCACATACCTTCCAGTCCTTGGCCTGGCTCTGAAGCATCATGGGGTCCTCAGGCTCGCTCTCCTCGCCATCATCAATATCCTCGACGTTCTTGGCGCTCTCCTGGGCCTGGATCCGGTCATCCTCGGAAAAGGTGCGCTTGTGACGAGCTCGGCGGGCGTGGGCCAGGAAATGAGGGCCAACGGGCTCGATGCTGCGCTGAACAGCTCCGGAGAGCTTGCCGACGGCCTTGAAGTCCTTGTCGGCAGCCCAGCCCTCGGGCAGGACGGGCAGCGGGAGAGTGACAACCTGCGTGACGGAAGCCATTGTGGCGTTTGCAATGACGGATTTGAGTTGAAGAGAGAGAAAAAAGGTTCGACTGAGGGCAGTGAGGCAATCTCCAGTTTTTTTTTTTTCTCTTCTCCCACCAAAAGGCTAATGGTGGGGTTTCGACAGGGGCTGCAGCGCTATCTGTGGTGGCATGGCGGCGGAAGACGGCAGAACCGGACCTCCGTTGTCTAGCACTCAAAATTGATATCATCCAATCCCATCTTGAATACATACACTTACACTTGCCTGCCTGTATGATACAAGTCTGAATTCGTCGTCGTCTTTGTTCTTCCAGCGATTCCGTCTAAACCACCTGATACCATGTCTTTGGCAGCTTATAGAAACCTCTTGCGCGCTGCGCGGATCGCCTTTCAGGGTAAGATGCGCTCCCTCGAGAAACCTGGGTTTCATTTATAATCTCGACATCCGCAGCTGGGCTAACAACTGCATCCAGGCGACGTCCATGTCCTCACTGCTGCCCAGAACCAGATCCGACAGGGCTTCCAAGAGAACCGCGCGCTCGACTCAAGTTCCGGCATCCAGGCGGCAATCAGACATGCCGAGGACGTGGCCACCATCCTGCGTCAAAACATCGTCCAGGGACAAAAGATTGAGAGCAACGGCGACGAGCACACGTACAGTAAGATTTGCTGATCGAGGGGCCCAGTGCTCAATGGGTTGTAACTATGCTGATCCTTTTCACCAGAGCTGCGAATACACGAACACACGGAGCGAGGGGATAATGACAGTATCTTGACCGCAGGCAAGGGCAAGAGTGGTGGTGGCTGTGGCTGCAATTGATGAGCAGCTTTTGTATATATCATTGTAACAAAACTATGTAGAATTACTGGACTTATGATACCCTCCAATCCAATGCCACACGATATATTTGGCCTTCCATCATGTTTGATTCCTCGATATGTAGACCATGTAATATGCACCCCGCTGTAGTCTCCCTATAGCACCAAAACGCCAGAATATGATTGAGAAAACAAGAAACGGAAACAGAAAACGGCGAAAGAGCATCTTCTTACTCTCCAGCCATGCTTGCATAAGTGGGTGCTTCTTCTGCGCCAGGTGGTGGTGCAGCAATCGCACGAGTCGCCGCGCTTGGCTGCTGGCCCGATTCCAGGGCGCGCTGCTGCGGCTTGTTCTGGCGGATGCGAGCATCCTGCAGCATCTGATAGCGTTGTTCCCGGTCCATTGTGCCAATCGCCTTTGGCTGTCCCCAGCGGATCCTCAGCGGGCAGCCAGCAATCACCGCCCTGCCCTGACACGCAGCTGCCGCTTTCTCGGCGGAATCTCTCGTCTCGTAGTTGACAAACGCACAGTGGGACATGTGAGAGCAAACCAAGCTCTTGATCTTGCCGTGGACCTTGAAGAAGTCGCGAATCTTGTGCTCCGGCAAATCGTCCTCGACACCCGTGACGAAGAGCGACATGATGTTTGGGTCATCCGGCGGCAGCCAGTCTTTGGGGCTCGGTGGGAGCTGTGCCGCGCTCGGGAACGCTGGGCGACCTCGTCCTCTACCGCCAGGTCTCGCACCTGCGGCTGCTGCAGCCTTTGAATCTCGAGTTCGGATCGGGCCAGGGCCTCCCACACCGGCTCCAACTGCAGGGTTGCCGCCCGCCCTTGCGCCGGCGAGTTCTGACTCGTCCACGGTTCTGCCCTTGCGAAAGTACGGCTTGCTGGCGGCGAGGCGACGCAGAAGCTCGCGGGCCTTTTCGTCCGTCTTCTCGTATTCCTCCGTTCCCGCCTTGCCTTCCTCAATCAACTTTTCGTTGTTCTGCGCAAAGTATTCTCGGTTGACATCGGATCGAGGACCCGGGGCGATCATCTTGAGCGCGGCATCACGGACGGTGATGGGCAGGCCGAAGCTGAGATCCAGCATGCAGCTCTGGCAGCAGTTCTTGAGTCGAGCGCACGTCAGGCAGACGTTGGTTCGTCTCTTGCGGCCTTGGGCGCGCTCAGCACTCCAGCTGAATACTGTGAATGGGCGCGTACACTGACGGGCTTGTTAGCATAGATTCTATGGAGCGAAAGAGTATCAGCCATGGGGCGACATACTAATTTGCATTCGGCTCCGTAGTCTTCCTTTAGCATCTTGACCATGGGGTTCTCAGGCAGGCAGTTTTCGCAGACGGAGGGAAAGTCGGTCGTCTCCCATCCCGACCGGTTGAGATCTTGTTTGATTTGGGGCGGCATGGCGTGCGACGAGATGCAGCGATGGATTGGCGATGGTGTTTCTGCTCTCGTTGTGACTTTACGCAGGTAGATAGATAGGCAAGCTGCAAATCCAAGATCGCGACGTGCAAAGAAATCTTGGTGGAGCCTTGCCGCAACCCGCCACAAGCTGGTGTTATGTAAGCATGATGTGGAATCTTATCGATATAACCCCAGCGCATTGCAAAGCGGAAGAAAAAGTGGCTTCGATTCAATTCCGGGAAACGGCTCAGGCACATTTAGGCGCTACAGCGGTAGGTACTTATCATAGCAGTACTTGAGGCTTCCAGAAACATGCCATACCTGTAGAGGTAGGTAGGTACCTGTATGTCGACAAGAATTTTCACATGCTTAGATACTAAAATACGAGTGAGTACTCTGCTCGTATGCGAAATTTGAACACACGGCTCGGGAGGAATGGGCTTCAGTCCAATTTCAAAGACACGGATATGATATTGCAGCGTCAATGCTAGATAGCAAGTACCTGATAGTAATTCTGCCAGAGAGTACGGAGTACTGTAGGCAATCTCACCTCGCAACCGATCCTGCAGGGACTTGTACGAGAGCGAATACAGATGATACGGGGAATAGTAGCAGCACTAAGACAAGTAAATACGCGTACCTGAGGGATTGGTGCTTGGCTCCGCAGATAAACCTCCCCTAAAATGGAGTTTATACCGCATCCTTAGTTCCTTAGCACGGAAAAGTGAAGCTGACGGAGGAATACACCGCAAAAAATAAGATGCGCATGCAAGTCAGCCCAAAGCGCGTTCGCGTTCGTATTCGCACACTGCGGGGCGCTCACCGCCTACCGTTTCCGTGCAGACCGTCCCTCCATCCAACCAACCAAATGGCCAAATTGCGACTCTAGTGCGATATCACAAGCCCAGAATTAGAATTGGAGATTGCAGATTGGCGGTTGCCGTTTTGTCAGGGGTAAAGAAGCGGACAGGTCCCATGGAATTGTTGCGATTTTGATTTGATGCCAAAGGACAACGCATACCAAGGGAAACATAAAAAGGTCCCAGCTCCGCTCATTCGCGTGGGCAGACGCCATCCTCTCATTCCGCAAACCCAAACTCTCGGTCCCATCTTTGGTTGTGCTTCTTCTCTTCTTCCTTCCTTTGACCCTCTTTTTGCGCAGCGACTAGAGATTTTCTTAATTTTTTAATTCCATCCTGCTACCGCACCAAATTCAACATGGCCACCGTAGCTCTCGAGAAGGAGGACAAGGCGCGAGATGCCGCCTTCAACAAGGCTCTGCACGGCAACTCGGCCAAGGCCAAGGGAGGCATTGCCGCCATGTTTTCCAAGGGCACTGACGCCAAGAAGGCCGCTGTCGACGAGTACTTTAAGCACTGGGACAACAAGCCTGCCGAGAACGAGACGGCCGAGGAGCGTGCCGTAAGTTTTTTCTTCCTTTTCCTTCTTCTTCTACTTCCTTATCTCCCTCGAAAGAAAGGGCCATTGGATGAAGCAGCAAGCAATTCTCTTTCTAACGCTTTCCAATCAACAGAAACGAACCGCCGAGTATGCCACTCTGACAAGGCACTACTACAACCTGGCGACGGATCTGTACGAGTACGGATGGGGCCAGTCCTTCCACTTCTGCCGATTCTCCCACGGCGAGCCCTTTTACCAGGCAATTGCCCGTCACGAGCACTACCTGGCTCACACCATTGGCATCAAGGAGGGCATGAAGGTCCTCGATGTCGGCTGCGGTGTCGGTGGCCCTGCCCGTGAGATTGCAAAGTTCACCGGCTGCCACGTCACTGGTCTCAACAACAACGACTACCAGATCGACCGAGCAACCCACTATGCCGAGAAGGAGGGCCTTTCCAAGCAACTGGCCTTTGTCAAGGGCGACTTTATGGTATGTTTAGCATTGTCTTGTCTTATCTTGCCTTGAGTATACTAATGTGAACCCCGCCTGTAGCAAATGTCGTTCCCTGAAAACACCTTCGATGCTGTTTACGCCATTGAGGCTACCGTCCACGCCCCCAGCCTCGAGGGCATCTACAGCCAGATCTTCCGTGTGCTGAAGCCTGGCGGTGTCTTTGGTGTCTACGAGTGGCTTATGACTGATGAATACGACAACAACAACCTGCACCACCGCGAGATCCGTCTCGGAATCGAGCAGGGTGACGGTATCTCCAACATGTGCAAGGTGTCCGAGGCTCTGGACGCCATGCGCGCTGCGGGCTTCGAGCTCCTCAGCCACGAGGATCTGGCTGATCGCCCCGACCCCCTCCCCTGGTACTGGCCTCTGTCTGGTGAATTGAGATATATTCAGTCCGTCGGAGACATCTTTACCATTGTCCGCATGACCACCTGGGGCCGCACCATTGCCCACAACTTGGCCGGTCTGCTGGAGAAGATTGGCCTTGCCCCTGCCGGCACCAAGAAGACGGCCGACAGCTTGGCTCTTGCCGCCGACTGCCTGGTTGCCGGTGGCCGCGAGCACCTCTTCACCCCCATGTACCTGATGGTTGGCCGCAAGCCTGCCAACTAAACGTGGGGAGAGAGTGGTGAGGAAAGAGTTCGTGAGTATGCTGGAAGGGGACCAGCAATTGATACCATCTTGGATTTTGATACCTTGATTGATGTGGAGTAACGAGCGACCCCAGAGGGAGGATATATAAAAAATCGCGGCGTCGAGCATGATTACTTAAACGGGATGACAATGCATTGCTGATGAAACAATCGGCACCTTTATGTACGCATATGTAATGGCTACAGCAAAAAGATGTACAATGCTGCATCTTTTCATAGTTTTTGTCTTTTTTTATTGCATGAAAATGAATATTTCACCAACTTGTCTGCTGTCTACCTGTGCTTCTACCTGTTCCTGTGAGCCTTTGGGAGCCTTTGTGAGCCTTTGCCTGCCTCATCTTACATACATAAGCCTTGCCCACGTCTCCGTCGTTATCTTTAAGTGATATCGCTTAGGTCCGGCAGATACGATCGCAGCCCAATTCGCCCTTCTGATTCGACGAGGCCTCGCTCCCATCGCGGCCAAATCCCCTCCGGCAGCGGAGAGGGGCCTTAGTCAGCACCCACTCTTGGCCTCCCCAACAAAGATTACAGGCGGGTTCAGTGCCAACGTCCCGCTGTAAGGCCCTGGCCATTAGCGGCAGACCCAGCTGTAGCTTCGCAAGAAAAAAAAAGTTGGCGGTGCTCCATTGGCTGGGACGAGCTTGGGAATTTTTTGCTTGGGGCCGGAAATTCCCTCTTGGTTCTTTTTGGGGGAGCAGCCAGCTAAACTAAACTGCTCCAAAAGCACAAAACACCAAGCCCTTCTCCCCAACTCCTCTCCATTCCGCCTGTCCCGTCTAGACAGCAGACGGCTAGCTGCGAGCGGTTCGTGTCCTCTGTGTCGATACACCCCGTGCTTTTTCCCACCAGCCAATTCTCAGCCTCAGCCTCAGCCCGCCATGTCCCGATTCCTCCGGCCCGCAGCTCGTCTGGCTGCCTCGACACGAGCTGCCACATCCATCAAGGCGAATGCGCCGTCCTTCTCACAGGCCATTGCGCGCCCCGTCTACTTTGGCGGATCGTCGCAGAGCCGGTCGTACGCCGAGGGCGCTGGCGTCAAGGAGTACACTGTCCGAGATGCCCTCAACGAGGCTCTGGCCGAGGAGCTCGAGGCCAACCCCAAGGTCTTCATCCTGGGTGAGGAGGTTGCCCAGTACAACGGAGCGTACAAGGTCACAAAGGGACTGCTGGACCGGTTCGGCGAGAAGCGTGTCATTGACACTCCCATCACCGAGATGGGCTTTGCCGGCCTGGCTACTGGTGCCGCTCTGAGCGGACTGCACCCTGTGGTGAGTTTTATACATTCATATATATATACATATATGCCATTGCTATATGGTATAGATGCCATGCTCTTGTTCTTGGTCTTGGATTTGGATTTGGCTTCTCCAGACATGGCATCTTCTGACCCGTCCTCCTCCCTTTCGTAAACTACAATATCAACTGACAAGCTTTCCCACCTCATAGTGCGAGTTCATGACCTTCAACTTCGCCATGCAGGCCATTGACCATGTTGTCAACTCGGCCGCCAAGACCCTCTACATGTCTGGCGGTATCCAGCCCTGCAACATCACCTTCCGTGGCCCCAACGGCTTCGCTGCCGGTGTCGCTGCCCAGCACTCTCAGGACTACTCTGCCTGGTACGGCAGCATTCCCGGCCTCAAGGTCGTCTCCCCCTGGAGCGCCGAGGACGCCAAGGGTCTGCTCAAGGCCGCCATCCGCGACCCCAACCCCGTCGTCGTCCTCGAGAACGAGCTGATGTACGGCCAGAGCTTCCCCATGTCCGAGGCCGCCCAGAAGGACGACTTCGTCCTCCCCTTTGGAAAGGCCAAGGTTGAGCGCGCCGGCAAGGACCTCACCATTGTCACCATGTCCCGATGCGTCGGCCAGTCCCTCGTTGCCGCCGAGAACCTGAAGAAGAACTACGGCGTTGAGGCCGAGGTCATCAACCTGCGATCCATCAAGCCCCTGGACCTTGAGTCCATTGTCCAGTCCATCAAGAAGACCCACCGTCTGCTTGTCGTCGAGTCTGGCTACCCTGCTTTCGGTGTTGGTGCTGAGATTCTCGCCCTGTCCATGGAGTATGCCTTTGACTACCTTGACGGCCCTGCCCAGCGAGTCACTGGTGCCGAGGTGCCCACTCCTTACGCCCAGAAGCTGGAGGAGATGTCCTTCCCCAACGAGCAGCTGATTGAGAACTTTGCCGCCAAGATGCTGCGATTGTAAACTCCCGGCGCGGAGCAACAATCTTGTTTTCAATCTAACGGATATAAATTTATTTAAAAAGAACAAAACAAAGAAAGAAAGAAAGAACAGAAGGGGGGTGGCTATCCGGGCTGGCGGCATAATATCTCAAGGGGGGCTAGAATGAACTCGGAGGGGATTTTGACTTCAGGGGGGAGTTGGTGAAGCGCATCAGGCTAGCAATTCTGTTGGACCTCTGGTCAAAAAAAATTCTCAATAGACGGACGGAGAGGAAAAATAATGGACTTGTACTCGTAATAACCTATGCGCTTTTTGATGCCGTGCCATGACGTTTGCAGACTGGAGATGGTGTATTTGTATTTGTATTTGTATTTGTAGTCTCGATGAGTTATGCTCTATGTAAGATACGTGTCTTCTCTCGTTGCTTCGTCCAATGCCCTGTTCTAAACACTGTTGAGTTTTTCAATAATTCGAATGTGCAAAAATCCATTGATATTCGCCCTCCTCATTACAGTCAGATTGAAGTAAACCGTCCATCATTCAGAGCCCAATCCAGCCCCCAACAGGGTTCTCTGCCTGCCGTCAATCGCCTGCAGGTGCCCAGACCCGCATTTCCATGGCGGGGCAACTTGACCTCTAAGCTTCACAAGCATCTCGAACCTGTCAATCATTCCAGCATTGCAATCGCACATTCCATCGTCTGAAGAATCGCATCTTCTTTGAGCAGAAAGAAATAAAAGATCGAACAGCATCTCCAGCTGCTCTACGCCATGGCTGGCATCGATGCCCTGCTGGCCTCTCAGGACGAGGGCATCCCCAGCTCCGGGCCCAGGAAACGGCGGCTCCAAAACCCCCAAGAGCTGAAGCAGCGCCTGGAAAATGAGCTGCTCATGCCGTCTCCCGAGTTCTCTGCCGAATGGCTGGATCGCCTGCAGCAGAGATGGGACTTTGAGGCTGACTACACGGCCCTGTTCAAGATTGCTCCGCCGCAGACGCGCACCTTGACGAGGTTCTTGCGCCACGGACTCGAGGGCCGCGTGACGGGATACAAGAACGTGACTGTGCCCATGAGCGGTGCCACGGCAAAGAATTCGACCAGCCTTTTGCGGAAGCCCGCCAGCAGAGCAGATTTCGTCAGAGGAGCTGCCGGCTTCTTTCCTTTTGCGCCTGGTGGATTGGAGGGTATCGAGGCTACTGCTGCCTTGGAGGATCAGATTCACGCCGGAGCGGCTGGTGTCGATGATGCTGCGGCTGGAAGCAAGCTGGAGAGGGTCATTCAGCTGGGAGATGAGGGAGGGCTTCTGCAGATTGCTCCCGGGATGGACCGTGGCATCGACTTTGGCAAGAAGACAGGCGTGGATGAGGATGCTGCTGCTGCGATCAAGCAAGAGCTCGAGGAGGATCCTGAAGAAGCAAAAGACACCATCAAAGAGGAGTCGTCTTCACCCGCAGAAGTCTCTGGGGACTCGGCAGAGGATGAGGAAATCGGAGATGATATCGACGACCTGCTACCCGTGGAATTTCCCTCTCTTGAACCTCATGGTGTTCTTGCAGCATCCAGTGCCAAAAAGGCTGGGCGTGAATGGGCACACATGGTCGACATCAAGCACGACATGCCCAATTTCAGAGAGCTCGTCCCCGACATGGCTCGAGAGTGGCCCTTTGAGCTGGACACGTTCCAAAAGGAAGCCGTGTACCATCTGGAAAACGGCGATTCCGTCTTTGTTGCGGCGCACACATCCGCTGGAAAGACTGTCGTGGCCGAGTATGCCATTGCCCTGGCGGCCAAGCACATGACCAAGGCCATCTACACATCGCCAATCAAGGCCCTTAGCAACCAAAAATTCCGCGACTTTCGACAGGAGTTTGACGAGGTGGGCATCTTGACGGGTGACGTTCAGATCAACCCGGAGGCCAGCTGTCTCATCATGACCACGGAGATTCTTCGCAGCATGTTGTACCGTGGAGCAGACTTGATTCGCGATGTCGAGTTTGTCATCTTTGATGAGGTTCACTACGTCAACGACTATGAGCGCGGTGTCGTTTGGGAGGAAGTCATCATTATGCTGCCCGAGCACATTTCTCTTATTTTGCTGTCGGCCACCGTCCCCAACACCCACGAGTTTGCCTCCTGGGTTGGTAGAACCAAGCAAAGAGACATTTACGTCATTTCTACGGCCAAGAGGCCAGTGCCCCTGGAGCACTACCTTTGGGCCGGGAAGAACATACACAAGATTGTGGATTCGGACAAGAAGTTTCTCGAGAGCGGTTGGAAAGATGCACACAAGGCAACCCAGAGCAAGGAAAAGCCCGCCGCCGCTAGCAACACCGTTGCGATCCGGGGAGGCAGCTCTCAGGGAAATCAGCGAGGCGGAGGAGGACGAGGCGGCCCCCAGAGAGGAGGCCAGCAGCAACGTGGAGGTCGTGGAGGCGGCCAGCAGAGAGGCCGAGGAGGACCTCCCCGGGCGAGCCACGCTCCGGGACACATGGGACGTGCCGGAGCCCCCGGCGGACGGTCGTCGGCTGCACAAGACAAGAACATATGGGTTCACATGGTTCAGTATCTACGGAAACACACGCTGCTGCCGGCTTGCATATTTGTCTTCTCTAAGAAGCGATGCGAGGAAAACGCAGATGCACTCAGCAACCAGGACTTTTGCACGGCTTCGGAGAAGAGCGCCATCCACATGGTGATTGAAAAGTCCATTGCCCGTCTGAAACCCGAGGACCGAGTCCTACCACAGATTATCAGGCTGCGGGAGCTCCTAGGCAGAGGTATCGCGGTACATCACGGTGGTTTGCTGCCCATTGTAAAGGAGCTGGTGGAGATTCTGTTCGCGAGGACGCTTGTCAAGGTCCTGTTTGCCACCGAGACGTTCGCCATGGGTCTCAACCTGCCCACCCGAACGGTGGTGTTTTCTGGATACCGCAAGCATGATGGCCATTCGTTCCGCAACCTTCTGCCTGGCGAATACACGCAAATGGCTGGCCGAGCTGGCCGTCGAGGTCTTGACAAAGTCGGCTCCGTCATCATCGTGCCTCCGGGTGGCGACGAGGCACCTCCCGTTGCCGAGCTGCGCAACATGATCCTGGGAGAGCCATCCAAACTCAAGTCACAGTTCAGGCTAACTTACAACATGATTCTCAACCTGCTGAGAGTGGAAGCACTCAAGATTGAGGAGATGATTAAAAGGAGCTTTTCGGAGCATGCAACGCAGCAGCTCCTACCAGAGCACGAAAAGGATGTCAAGCTCGCTCAAGCAGATCTTGCAAAGGTTAAGAGAGAGGCCTGCAAGATCTGCGACGGAGTGGTGGACGAGTGCCACCAGGCAGCTCAAGACTACAAGCGGCTGACGACAGATCTGTACAAGGCCCTGCTCAAGATTTCCATCGGCCGAAGGATGTTTACGCCGCATCGGTTGATTGTCTTCAACTGGGAAGGCATCCGCACAGCCGGCATACTCCTTGCCGAGGGCATGAGTCCCAAGGGCTCCTTTGAAGACCCCATCCTGCATGTCTGCGCTATTAAGCCTCTGAGGGAGCGGCGCGACGTAACAGACCAGCTGCCCTTTATTCCCGCATTCCGCAAATACATGCAAAAACTTCCTCAGGGGAAGAGACGCCTCACTACTAAAAATATGTTCGTCCCCCTGAGCGATGTCGAATGCCTTACCCGGTGGGTTATAAAGGGAGTTGTCCCCGAGATTTTCAAGGGGGGACAAGCCGGCCATGATGCCCTAGACAAAATACAGGAGATTTGCTCGTCTTGGGATGAACGGTGGGATGAGATGGACATGAGCAAGGTCAAGAGCTTGCAGTTGCAGGAAATGATTGAGAAGAGATTTCAGCTGTCAAAAACGATGGCCAACTCTGGAGCCACGCGGTGCCCTGCCTTTTTGAAGCACGTAAGTCATTCTCATGCCCTAGAACCATTCCTTTTTAAAGATTGTTTTTTACTAATCTGAGTTTATGAATTAGTTTGCCATGTGCCACGACGAGTGGCTCATCACAGAGCACATTGCCCAGCTGAAGCAATCCCTCTCGGATCAAAACCTTCAGCTCCTCCCCGACTACGAACAGCGCGTCCAAGTGCTCAGAGAGCTCGACTTTATCGACGATTCATCGCGCATCCAGCTCAAGGGCAAGGTCGCCTGCGAAGTCCATTCGGGTGATGAGCTCGTCCTCACCGAACTCATCCTCGACAACGTCCTTGCCGACTTTGATCCCGCCGAGATTGCCGCCCTCTTGTCCTCGTTTGTCTTTCAAGAGAAGACACTCACGGAACCAACCCTGACGGGCAACCTCGAGCGTGGGCGTGACACCATCATTGCCATCTCCGAAAAGGTCAACGACGTGCAGACGCGGCTGCAGGTGATTCAGTCGAGCGAAGACTCAAACGACTTTGTGTCGAGGCCCCGCTTCGGCCTCATGGAGGTGGTGTACGAGTGGGCCAGGGGCATGAGCTTCAAGAACATCACGGCGCTGACGGACGTCCTCGAGGGTACCATTGTACGGACGATTACGCGGCTGGACGAGACGTGCAGGGAGGTGAAGAACGCGGCGAGGATCATTGGCGATCCCGAGCTGTATCAGAAGATGCAGCAGGCGCAGGAGATGATCAAGAGGGACATTACGGCGGTGGCGAGTCTGTACATGTGAGCGGGGGATGGCGATGATGATGATGGATGTGCGATTTTTTGGGGCATTTCTACATGAGTGAGAAAACGGGTCTCCAGGTTAGATTTGTAAGGGTTTATCATGTCGGGGTAAGGAATGGTTTATGACTATTATGACAGGAGAAGAGCTGGGAACGATATAGACAACCAAAAAATGATGGCATTGTACAACTAAGTATAGGTGGTAAAACAAGGCCCATTGTATATGTATGTATTGTATATGTATGGGTATGGAATATCAAAGAGGCCCCTGAAGGTTTAGCAAAGCAAGAAATCGCAGAGTAGAGCACAAGTGGCAGCTCTAATGCTAAAATTCCAACATGTTGTTCTTGATCCAGTCAGTTCGATCCCATCAAACCCCGGCCCGAGCAAAGCAAGTAAGCCCTCCATCCCAGAAAGAAAACGCCAAACCTTGTCCAAACAGCAAAAAAAAAAAAAAGGAGAAATTCACCGGAAAATTGCAGCCCGCCGGTTCATCAAAAAGAAACTCGTTTCCCGTACATATTCACTCGTCTTTATGTCGACCGTAGTAGTGTATAACAAAAAAAGGTCCAAAAGAAAAGAGAGGGATCCGCTAAAAGAAATGTCCCGAAAAAGAGAGGGAAAAAAAAATCTAAGCACG